TTTGACCGCTATGAGGTCCAGAAATATATCATTCATAGTAAGGAACAGACTGCTAAAGAAAATTTTTCTAATGATTGGAAAAAATGGGAAAAATTAATTAAAATCTTAGAATGATTTTTTTTTTTTTTTTTTTTTACGCATGTAGGAATTTCAGAAATCGCCAGTCTCTGACAAAGTTCCATGTATAGTTTTTTGGTCCTTTCCCTTCCTCCATTTTCTTATCTATCCTCTCAAATCCCTTTTCTATCTGTCTATCTATCTATCTGTCTGTTTTTTTCTGTTTGTCTGTCTGTCAGTCAGCCCGTCTGTCTGTCAGTTGTTCCTTATCTATTTCCTTTTAATGTATCAGTACAGTGAAATATATTTGAGTGAGGTATAAAAGTGTAAGAGTGGGAGTGAGGTGTAAGTGTGTACAAGTGAAATGTAAGAGTGTATGAATGAGGTGTAAAAGTGTATGAGTGAAATGTAAGGGTGTATGAGTTAAATGTAAGGATGTATGAGTTAAATGTAAGGGTGTATGAGTGAAATGTAAGGGTGTATGAGTGAAATGTAAGTGTGTATGAGTGAAATGTAAGGGTGAATGAGTATAATGAAAGGGTGTATGAGTGAAATGTAAGGGTGTATGAGTGAAATGTAAGGGTGTACGAGTGAAATGTAAGGGTTTATGAGTTAAATGTAAGGATGTATGAGTGAAATGAAAGGGTGTGTGAGTGAAATGTAAGGGTGAGTGAAATGTAAGGGTGTATGAGTGAAATGTAAGGGTGTATGAGTGAAATGTAAGGGCGAATGAGTGAAATGTAAGGGTGTATGAGCGAAATGTAAGGGTGTATGAGTGAAATGTAAGGGTGTATGAGTGAAATGTAAGGGTGTATGAGTGAAATGTAAGGGTGTGTGAGTGAAATGTAAGTGTGTATGATTGAAATGTAAGGGTGTGTGAGTGAAATGTAAGGGTGAGTGAGTGAAATGAAAGGGTGTATGCGTGAAATGTAAGGGTGTATGAGTGAAATGTAAGGGTTTATGAGTGAAATATAAGGGTGTATGAGTGAAATGTAAGGGTGTATGAGTGAAATGTAAGGGTGAATGAGTGAAATGAAAGGGTGTATGAGTGAAATGTAAGGGTGAGTGAGTGAAATGTAAGGGTGTATGAGTAAAATGTAAGGGTTTATGAGTGAAATGTAAGGGCGTATGAGTGAAATGTAAGGGCGTATGAGTGAAATGTAAGGGCGAATGAGTGAAATGTAAGGGTGTATCAGTGAAATGTAAGGGTGTATGAGTGAAATGTAAGGGCGTATGAGTGAAATGTAAGGGCGAATGAGTTAAATGTAAGGATGTATGAGTGAGCATAAAAGGTAAATTGTATTATATGTGTACAACATATACCGAAAGCTCTTGTGGATGTGTCATGTTGTGAAAGTAAATGGTGTCTAAGTGTCAAAATAAAAAAAACCAATAATAGTGATGATGATGCTGATGGTTGCAGTTATAAAAAAGACATGTTCATGATGATGAGGATGATAATGATGAAAATGATGATGATTGCATTAAAATGATCACGATGATGATGACGATGATGATGATGATGTTGTCATTATCCTCATGACTCAAGTGTGTGTGTGTGTGTGTGTGTGTGTGTGTGTGTGTGTGTGTGTGTGTGTGTGTGTGTGTGTGTGTGTGTGTGTGTGTGTGTGTGTGTGTGTGTGTGTGTGTGTGTGTGTGTGTGTGTGTGTGTGTGTGTGTGTGTGTGTGTGTCCTGTGTTATGTACATGTACTGAAAAATCTTGGAAAAATAAAAAAAATATATATAAAAAAAAAAAAAAAAATAGGGATATACATACAGTATGGCCACATATCAAATCATCGTTCTATGGCCCTCCGTAGCCAATCGACCTCTATTTAGTCAAAAGCGAATCTGGAAAAATGATTGACCAATAAATTTTAAGATTTGTTCACTTTTGCGCACTCACTCAGTAGACGTAGTCTAACTTTTACCTAGTTCTTTGACGTGGGAGTAACATGCATGGAATCATGATGAAGTACATCGCTGTTACTTTTTATTAATGTACATAAAGCTGTATATACCCTTTGGAAGTAGTGTGAAACAATATCGGTTCACCGTGGCTAGTCAGGTTCGTTACAGCTACACATTTCCGGAAGAAGAACACCTGTTTTTCTTAGGAACAAAACAAACGATTACACAAAGGATCAATTGGTGTGAGATAACAGAAGTATGTTTGCATACTTTAATCCGCGAAAGGTACTTATGACATTAATTAGCATGTTATCGTCATAAATAATACAGTTGTTTAGAAATTGGAATATGTGTAATGTAACAAACGTTACAAAAATTACTGTATTGCTTACTTAAGCTCAGTGTGAAAGATTCGCCTATTGTTCAGTAATTGAATAATTGAAAAACAGACTATATTAAATTCGACAGCGAGAGGCCGGGGAAGAAACACCATCAGTTCAACTACTGTACAGTACATTAAACAAACAAGACAGCAACATTAGCAAATCAAAAAGAATTTTTCTTCGTGCTATTATTATCAGCCAACCGTGGCAAAAAAAAGTACTAAACGTGTGCAATGATATCACCTTCAAAAGTGTACCACGATTTCAATGGTAGTTGAAAAGTTTTGTGACCTGTATCATGTTAAGTATGATGAATTGGAAGGAAATATATATAGCTCACACCTCGCTGTAACATGACGCCCCAGTAATATGACGAAATGATTCAGCATCTCTGAATTAGTGCAAGTCACGTTAGTGAACAACACCCAGAGGGCCTTATCGCTGTATAGGTACATATGCTTCACAGTAAATGCTTAAAGCAATATGACAAATTACTCCATCTGGGGTCCTGTTCCTTAGTAGTCAGCACCCTCATCTATGCAATGTTGACTTTCTTATGATGTTTCCAGTTAAATGTAATTCTTTTAAATCAAGGAAAGAAGATGGTCAAATAATAGAGCAGAAAACCTCTTAGTTATAGCTGGACGGATGACCCAGGACAGCAGAAGCTTACTTGCCCTTTAGATCATTGTTTACAAACACAGATACAACATATTTGAGACTTGCACAAGTCAACAATATAGATCGACAATTAAATATAAAGACAGGAAAATTTAAGGTAAGCGTAATTATAAACCATAACCCTAACTCAAAACCAATAATAACACGTTTCATGCATATCATTAGTGATGTCACCATGGTCAGTTAAGCCCCGATTACTGGCGATATACTGATAACAGTTTACTGTATGCCTATGAACACTGCATGGCAAATGAGATCAACTTAGAATTTCTTATTTATTTACGCTATAATTATGAAGAATCTTTAATTAAAATGAAGCTCTTGCAATTCTCTTTCCGGTCATGTTTTCTTTGCTGTGAATAGAACATAAATAATGGTCTAACATGTAGTTTTTTCACATTCCTTAGCTCAAGCCTCTCAGACCTCCAGGGGGCTTGGCCTAATCTATTTTTTGGAACAGTATGACATCACTGTGAAAGGTCTTTATAATTTATTCCAAATTATGCCAAGAAAATTCCCAGCAAAATATATTCCTTTGATAAGTCATTGGAAGGTTCTACATATTTGTATATATAGGCGCCAACCGCCGTGTTTCATTTTGTGCTTACATTTTCAACTACCGACTACGTTGAGTTTCGTGTTATTTAACTGTAACATTTGTGATAACTGAAGAAAATCTGGCTACAAAATTATTGGCAGTTAACGTCTCAAAAATCCAAAATGCTTACTTTTTCTTTTTTCTCGCTCATCGGTGGAAAACAAAACAGTCTACAATTTTATCCTTCGTTGGTGTTGTCAGGAATGTCACCATCGTTTTGCATGACGTCAAACTTTGACCCTGACCGCGAGGTCAACTATTGGTAGTTCTTGAGCCGTTTACAGAGGTGTATTGTGACTGTTCAGGAACGACAATTCTGGTAAATATCTCCGATTATAATACAGATCTGAATTTTTATTTGTGTCCTTTTTTTTCTGTCGGGACAATGGCTGTCAATTTTCTGACGTCACATCAACAACACGTGTTATAACCTGATTGTCGATAAGGATTTTGTCTTAAAATGTCACTGAATAAATTCCAGAAATGGAAATTCGTATACTTGGGCTAAACAGAAAATGCTGAAACAGGAAAATGCATTACTGAACAACAAGTGGGAAATATTTTGAAGAATTTCAACAAGGGACATAATTTCCGTCAACATGTTCACATCTATGTAGGGTCACTGTATCGGTCCTTGGTGTAATGTCTTTTGGGAGAAATGATGTTTGATGTGTATATGTCTTTCTTCTTAGTCACATTTGCTTTACATTCGTTCATTTGTAAAATCTTACTGTATCCATTGATACCATAGAGGGCTTGATGGTTGATATAACTGGTGTCCAAAAAAAACCCCAATAAAATTCGTTTAAACCAACCAAATAAATAAAATTGTAATACTTGGAAATAAAAAGACTAAAAAATCACTGAAGACATACCAAGAAAATTTTCATAAGGGTCGAACGAACACATGCAAGTGCTATTAAAGCCAGATACATCAGGTCATAGCATTACAAAAAAAAAGAAGTGCATGTTTATTTTTTATGTAAAAACTTCAACAACTTTGATAAAAAGGGTCAGATTGAAAATATGTAATAAGAGAACAAAATTGCATTATTGCATAATACTTCACGCAATACACAGCCAGACAAAATCCTATCTACGGACGGACGGACGGACAAGTTCATTCTAGGATACCGGGGAAGGGAGATGTAGGAAAAGATGACTTGCCAATAATGTATTACGCCAATCAGTATGTATGTAGTGCGCAATAGACAAAATGATTTTAAATAGATTCTGGTTAAAATGACACCGAAATACACAGGAATTGTAGATAACTAAGGATTGGAAACAAAATTAAATTAAAAAGCTTGAGCGGTGTCTTTGATATGGAATTTGTATCCTATAAAATAACTCAATATTCACAAAACCATTCTTTTTAGAGAACTTTAATTATTTCAACACTAATACATTCCGAACCTTGTGTACTTTCAAATTATTAAAAGCATCGTTATTTTATTGCAGTTCATTTCACAACTATCAATTAAATACACATGCCCATCCACTTGATAACGTCTAATACATACACAGTGAGTTATCACAATCATTGACTGGGATTTTACGTAGAGCTGTTCACAATAAATGCTCTGATTAAAAGAGTGTCGTTTCTAATGTAGGATGAACTATCTAGGATACTGAGAGGCAGAAATTCCATGTATCCAAATCCTTTATGATTCCTTGGGGTCACAGGTTTCTGGAAAGCAGCTAAATGCGGCTTTGATACAAGAGTTTCTATGACATGATGCCTTTGCTCGCACACTGGGTTCTGGTCTAACACTGTGAGTACGATACGACCGCTGAAAGGCCATTCTAGAATGTCATCATATTCTCCTTGCATGAAATGAATGAACACGGAAAGATGTGTTCCCCTTGCACTGTCTACGCCATTAAGGTTCACGCGTATGCACAGCTTGTATCCGTAAAAGTTGGAATAGAAAGGAGGACTGTGAATTGCGGTTGTGTCCCCGTGTTCGGCTTCTCTTCTAAACTTTGAATAGTTCTTTATCTTCCAGAGGTACGTCCCGTTGCATGTCCTACCTTCAATGTCTGCAATATTATTTTCCAAAATTTTAACTTTTGATCTTAAATCTCTATTAGTCCGTTCTAGAATGTCATTTTTCTGTTGAATCTCGACTAACGATTGTTCGTGCCTAGCCAGACTCTCATCCTGTGTTGCATTCTGACATTTAAGTGACTGGAATTCAAAATCCTGGTGAAGAGGTACTTTAGGTGCGCCTTCAAGGTCTACACCCTGAATGTTATTAGATGTCATACTGACAGTAGACATGACTTGGGTTCTACCGCTAGCAATCCGTTCATCGTCTCTTCTAATTATCACCTCGCCTGATCTACTGGTTGAAGAGTCAGACGATCCGTGGCTCAACATGTTGTCAGAACTAAACTGTTGCCTCAGTCTATGCGGTAAATGAGGCGGTTGCTGTCCCAACTGGGGTCCAAACACCATGCTGGCTTGAAGCAAACCTGATAAAGCGTTGAGTGAGGAACACTGTTGTTCTCCCTCTTCCCCTTGGCCACTCTGACTGGAGGACTGTCGCGAAGTATCATTTAAAGTACCTGGTTTGAACTGAAGTAATCGTACCAGAGAAACAATTGTTGTACACATTTGCTGCATGTGATCATGCTGGCACTGCTGCATGTGTTTCGCCATCGATTGTCTCTCAACCTAAAAGGAAACCAAACGTCCTTGTTAATTTTTCTTTCACACCGGAAACAATATAGGGAACTCATCCCGAGTCTATATGTACAATATAAATATATATCATAGAAAATACATATATATAATTTCGTCAGGAATACCTGAATAGAGAGGAGGGAACCAAAAGAAAACTTACACCATAGAAAATCGCATTGCTTACAGTTTCTTGCTAATTAGCAGTGAGAATTAATTACACACAATTATCAGTCCCTGAACAAAACAAGAAACTAATTTCAAAAAAGACTTGCATCTACAATTACATGTATTACCAAAATTTACAACACCTCATATCTCTTCGGTACATGCGTAATAACTGTTCACAACAACTCTGATCGACAATACGGTCAAAATTCAAACTGATAATGTATTTCGTACATCCATAAAAACAATGGAGTTGTACTTCCTAATTTTATGATCGATTAATTAGTTTAAGCAATAGTCTTATTAAAAATTCAACAATCTAACACAAACATATAATACATATGGGATTAGAAAACAAGCTTAAAGCTTTGTTCTTATCCATGAATTAGATATATGATGCCCAAACACGTACCGTTTCCTTACATCCAAGCTCTTTAAAATCACAATCTATGATCGCTTTCGGACAGTCATTATTAAGGTGTCGTTGGAGCTGCAATAAACATAACCGCCATGATAAAACATCAAATAAATGTTTATGTTGAAAAAATATACAATATAGCAAGTTTTATCGCGTGTCGAAATCCCCTTTGTTTGAGCTTTATACGTGTTTTACCAATAACAGACAATATTTTCTATAATTTTCGTGTTGTATGATTGCGTTGGTTTCCTTGTGTTATTATTCACTTACACGCCAATCATGACCTGACATACGCGTAGCGCGATCCAGATTAAGGTCTCTATCAATATCAGTGTTTTTGATATCGTCCTTCCATTATTTGGTTTGTTTTGAAGACTTGCGGACTGACCATCAGAGCGGTGGATCAGAAGATCGAAGTCAGACGTATGTTTTATCATTAAGCTACACCTGCACGTGCTTAAAACACCACAAAATGAATAACGCATGCTCAAAATACCTGCAAGGTTTCTTACCATTTCCTAATCGGGGATGTAAATCTAAGGATGCGGGTTTGGTATATTTTGATACGTAAATCAACCAGTTCTGTATTTAAAGATTTCTTTTATACCTTAGTTATGAATATAAGAAAACCCCACAGGGGATGATAACATTGATATTGAGGAAGTTTTAACTGTATATGAAAAACACAAAGGTAAATTTTAACAGTTTTCCGTAATACTTCGTTACAGTCTCTGTATCTTTAATTCGTTTCGCTGTTTTTGTTATAGCTATATAATGCTGAATAAGCTTTGTCCCCCATTTTTCATTAAGAGCATAGAAGCAATGAATCCGATTTTATAATGATCCTCAGACAATCAAAAATTCCGATTTACGATTCTGTGGCATTATCAATAAGAATAAATAAATATCACAACAAAGTTGGAAGTATAATAAACATGTTAGGAAATAATAAAGAATAAATAACATACCTGTTCTCGAATCAATCCTTCATTTCCACAAAACTGACATTGAACGCTTGAAAGGGGACACGTATCCATATGCTCCTAAAGTAAGCAAAGACATCTACTTTAATAAACCGTAACGAAACAGTATACAACACAACGGAGTTCAAAAGGATAACAGATTACATGACACTTTCAATTTGAAAGTAAGGACACGTTTTTAAAATAAACTACACATTATACATACAGTAATTGTTTTGCATTTCCCTATATACATTATATACACAGTAAATTTTCAGTTCGTACTCATACGGCATGAGAGTGGCCAAAATTATACTGATGAAATACATCTTTCATCATCACAAGGACTTCAGACACTTAACTACATGTTGTCTATTTTATGCTTTTCATGTCGACGATATCGCGCTCATATTATCTGCACTAATTTTCGCTTCTGTATATTGTTAATAACTAATTCCTACTGATGCGCGGATAAATCGTTGCGCTAACTTGGCAAAAAAAAAAAGAAGAAGAGATAAATGCTAAGGTTTAATTGTACTGAATAAGTGCGTTCAAAGTATATCTATGTATACATGTATTCGAAAAATGAAGGTCATTACTTTTGCAACAGAATTGTTCTCAATACAATCCTTTGCATTACAATCGTTCTCCATGCAATTGTTCTCCTTACAATCGTTCTCCATACAAATGTTCGCCTTACAACCGTTCTCCTTACAATCGTTGACCTTACAATCGTTCTCCTTACAATCGTTCTCAATACAATCGTTCTCCTTACAATCGTTGACCTTACAATCGTTCTCCTTACAATCGTTCTCAATACAATCGTTCTCCTTACAATCGTTGACCTTACAATCGTTCTCCATACAATCGTTCTCCTTACAATCGTTGACCTTACAATCGTTCTCCTTACAATCGTTCTCCTTACAATCGTTGACCTTACAATCGTTCTCCTTACAATTGTTCTCCTCGCAATCGTTCTCCTTACAATCGTTCTCAATACAATCGTTCTCCTTACAATCGTTCTCCTCACAATCGTTGACCTTACAATCGTTCTCCATACAATCGTTCTCCTCACAATCGTTGACCTTACAATCGTTCTCCTTACAATCGTTGACCTTACAATCGTTCTCAATACAATCGTTCTCCTTACAATCGTTCTCCTCACAATCGTTCTCCGTGCAATCGTTCTCCTCACAATCGTTGACCTTACAATCGTTCTCCTTAAAATCGTTGACCTTACAATCGTTCTCCATACAATCGTTCTCCTTACAATCGTTGACCTTACAATCGTTCTCCGTGCAATCGTTCTCCGTGCAATCGTTCTCCTCACAATCGTTGACCTTACAATCGTTCTCATTAAAATCGTTGACCTTACAATCGTTCTCCATACAATCGTTCTCCTTACAATCGTTCTCAATACAATCGTTCTCCTTACAATCGTTGACCTTACAATCGTTCTCCATACAATCGTTCTCCGTGCAATCGTTCTCCTTACAATCGTTGACCTTACAATCGTTCTCCTTACAATCGTTCTCAATACAATCGTTCTCCTTACAATCGTTGACCTTACAATCGTTCTCCTCACAATCGTTCTCCGTGCAATCGTTCTCCTCACAATCGTTGACCTTACAATCGTTCTCCTTAAAATCGTTGACCTTACAATCGTTCTCCATACAATCGTTCTCCTTACAATCGTTGACCTTACAATCGTTCTCCGTGCAATCGTTCTCCTCACAATCGTTGACCTTACAATCGTTCTCCTTAAAATCGTTGACCTTACAATCGGTCTCCATACAATCATTCTCCTTACAATCGTTGACCTTACAATCGTTCTCCTTACAATCGTTCTCAATACAATCGTTCTCCGTGCAATCGTTCTCCTCACAATCGTTGACCTTACAATCGTTCTGCTTAAAATCGTTGACCTTACAATCGTTCTCCATACAATCGTTCTCCTTAAAATCGTTGACCTTACAATTGTTCTCAATACAATCGTTCTCCTTACAATCGTTGACCTTACAATCGTTCTCAATACAATCGTTCTCCTTACAATCGTTCTCCATACAATCGTTCTCCGTGCAATCGTTCTCCTCACAATCGTTGACCTTACAATCGTTCTGCTTAAAATCGTTGACCTTACAATCGTTCTCCATACAATCGTTCTCCTTACAATCGTTGACCTTACAATCGTTCTCCTCACAATCGTTCTCCGTGCAATCGTTCGCCTTACAACCGTTCTCCTTACAATTGTTCCCAATATAATCGTTGACCTTACAATCGTTCTCAATACAATCGTTCTCCTTACAATCGTTGACCTTACAATCGTTCTCCTTACAATCGTTCTCAATACAATCGTTCTCCGTGCAATCGTTCTCCTCACAATCGTTGACCTTACAATCGTTCTCCTTAAAATCGTTGACCTTACAATCGTTCTCCATACAATCGTTCTCCTTACAATCGTTGACCTTACAATCGTTCTCCTTACAATCGTTCTCCTCACAATCGTTCTCCGTGCAATCGTTCTCCTCACAATCGTTGACCTTACAATCGTTCTCCATACAATCGTTCTCCTTACAATCGTTGACCTTACAGTCGTTCTCCGTGCAATCGTTCTCCGTGCAATCGTTCTCCTCACAATCGTTGACCTTACAATCGTTCTCCTTAAAATCGTTGACCTTACAATCGGTCTCCATACAATCGTTCTCCTTACAATCGTTCTCCTCACAATCGTTTTCCGTGCAATCGTTCTCCTTACAACCGTTCTCCTTACAATCGTTCTCCTTACAATCGTTGGCCTTACAATCGTTCTCCTTACAATCGTTCTCCTTACAACCGTTCTCCTCACAATCGTTTTCCTTACAGCTGTTTTTCGGCAATGAAACAACAATCGCACTACTTACCGCAGTCATTTGAATATTTTTTCGAAGCGGGATGGAAGTTAGTGTTATGGTTTTGTTGCACTATTAATGATCGATCGACACAAATGTTACACATAGTAATATGCACTGAACAATATCAGATATCTTATGATTCTTAAACTTTGGTGATATACAGCAAACTGTGACATTATACCTGTAAATGTTCTGCCTGTAACTCCGTGTGGCATGTGGGACATTTCACACGTCGTAAGTGGCAAACCTCCTCCAAATGATTGTTAAGGTCCTTCCGGAGCAGAATATCACCACATCGATTTGGACAGGGTATGAAAGCAAATTCACATATTTCCAAGTGTTTCTGAAAAAGAAATCAGAAGCTGAAATGTTAGCTTAATGGATCAAAAATAGAAAATCTTTATATGAATGTATTTACATAATTTGTACATTGTTTCGAATGTCGTCAAAAAACCCAAATTAGGTCAATGGTATGATATTTGAGAAACTGGGGAATCTCACTGATCTGATTTCGCAACATGTTCAGTAGGACACTTTAGAATTTATGTCCACATATTGTATCAGGAAATTATCATAATCTGTTGAATTGTGTAAAAAATGATAATGTTATCAATGTGTTGAATTACTTGCTAGCCTACTAGCAATGTCCGTATGTAACTGATTTTGTAATGATCATAACATTACCTGAAGTTGTTTCAGAACCACATGCGTATCACAGCCATCCTTGTGATTGGGACATTGTACTAATAAAGCTAGGATTTCTCGTTTGGCAAAATTATCCGGAAATATCTGACCTTCTCCCAAAGGCGCATTGTCAACTGGGCAGCGCGGTTCAGCTTCCGTTTCCCTGGCAACATTCAAGTCATGAACTGCTTATGTGTTTATGCCAATACAACATGACAAAAGAAACCTGACCTGCTGTATTCCGAGCTATGAACATGCGAATATATTTATAACAAAAACAAAAAATATTGCAAAAACCATCGTTAAACAGCCAACATTGATAAAGTAATGGAATTGTGGACTACTGAATCATAATACCCACTCCAGAAAGTTTGTACCAATCGTTGAATCGACATTTATATCACACTTTTGTGTCTATCAGCAAATAGAATATTTGCATGTTATCTGTTTCAACAAGTGTATTGGGGAATCCCCTCCCTTTTTCTCCTTTTTTTAAATAAATAAAATCAATATTGACCTTGACCAAATAGACTTGTCAAATCCATAATACGTTATCACAGTAGTAGTTTATCACCATTAATATTTCATGTATACAAAATACTTCCGCATTCTAATATCTTTGGACAAGGAAGAGATAAACAAATACTCGGTAAAACTACTAAATTTAGGAACGCATTTTTGGAAAATAAATGTAGGCGGAACATATAGTTAATAGGAATTCAAATTAGCGTTAATTAGCAGTAATTAGAAGTGATTACTATTAAGCACTTCCTGTACCTTTGTAGTGAATCTAACTTCTTGAAATGAAAAAAAAATGACAAAAAACTGCAATGAAGTGTGACTGACCAATGGTCTCTTACGTAACATCAACAAAGCTGGCAGTTCGTGAGAAGATATATTAGTGAAAACCTTGAAAATGTTATCAAAATAACAAATGTACGTCGTTTACCTTCCGCTATTTGTGATGGTGCAGTCTGATATTATCAATGGTTTCGTCTAGTATACTACTTAAACATCACAAACGTCGAGATAATTGATGAAGCATTTTTTTTTCTTAGAACAATCCACTCTGTCGTATAAACCGCATCAATTGCATGAAGATTTTTTTGTGTAAATATTTAGAGCTAGTATGAACCAGGAAGAATTTTTCTATTTGCGTTCTAATTTTCAACCAGGAAGTTACGATCAATTACATTACGTCTGGTCAGGTTTTATGCAGAGTAATAAATTAATATAACAACTGTATTAATGTGGATGGAAATATCTAACACTATAGCAGTTTCATAAACCGTATGTAAAAGAGCCATTTTAAATAAGACATGCAGTACTTGTTTTCAAACACTAATTGTGTGTCTCTATATTATTATAATTATTACATTCTGAACGGCCCGTCAACACATAGTCTCTATATCAGTCCGATGTATCAGACGGTGGTGTTTATAAACAATGCTTTTTTGGCTAATACGAAAAATATGTTATTTTTTTCTCTGTGTGTTTAAATCAGTGTTTGGATAGTCTTTGCTTGAGAAAGAGATTGGTGTATACGTTTTATCTAACACAAAGATAAGATTTAACATGTCTAGCAAATTAAAAATACAACAAGGTTAACATACCCAGCAATGACAAAACAATAACAGGGCTAACATACCCAGCAATGACAAAACAATAACAGGCCTAACATACCCAGCAACGACAAAACAATAACAGGGCTAACATACCCAGCAACGACAAAACAATAACAGGCCTAACATACCCAGCAACGACAAAACAATAACAGGGCTAACATACCCAGCAACGACAAAACAACAGGGCTAACATACCCAGCAACGACAAAACAATAACAGGGCTAACATACCCGGCAACGACAAAACAATAACAGGGCTAACATAGCCAGCAACGACAAAACAATAACAGGGCTAACATACCCAGCACCGACAAAATAATAACAGGCCTAACATACCAAGCAACGACAAAACAATAACAGGCCTAACATACCCAGCAACGACAAAACAATAACAGGGCTAACATAGCCAGCAACGACAAAACAATAACAGGGCTAACATAGCCAGCAACGACAAAACAATAACAGGGCTAACATACCCAGCACCGACAAAATAATAACAGGCCTAACATACCCAGCAATGACAAAACAATAACAGGGCTAACATACCCAGCAATGACAAAACAATAGCAGGGCTAACATACCCAGCAACGACAAAACAATAACAGGGCTAACATAGCCAGCAACGACAAAACAATAACAGGGCTAACATACCCAGCAACGACAAAACAATAACAGGCCTAACATACCCAGCAACGACAAAACAATAACAGGGCTAACATACCCAGCAACGACAAAACAACAGGGCTAACATACCCAGCAACGACAAAACAATAACAGGGCTAACATACCCGGCAACGACAAAACAATAACAGGGCTAACATAGCCAGCAACGACAAAACAATAACAGGGCTAACATACCCAGCACCGACAAAATAATAACAGGCCTAACATACCAAGCAACGACAAAACAATAACAGGCCTAACATACCCAGCAACGACAAAACAATAACAGGGCTAACATAGCCAGCAACGACAAAACAATAACAGGGCTAACATAGCCAGCAACGACAAAACAATAACAGGGCTAACATACCCAGCACCGACAAAATAATAACAGGCCTAACATACCCAGCAATGACAAAACAATAACAGGGCTAACATACCCAGCAATGACAAAACAATAGCAGGGCTAACATACCCAGCAACGACAAAACAATAACAGGGCTAACATAGCCAGCAACGACAAAACAATAACAGGGCTAACATACCCAGCACCGACAAAATAATAACAGGCCTAACATACCCAGCAATGACAAAACAATAACAGGGCTAACATACCCAGCAATGACGATAAAACAATAGCAGGGCTAACATACCCAGCAACGACAAAACAATAACAGGCCTAACATACCCAGCAACGACAAAACAATAACAGGGCTAACATACCCAGTAACGACAAAACAATAACAGGGCTAACATACCCAGCAACGACAAAACAATAACAGGGCTAACATACCCAGCAACGATAAAACAATAACAGGGCTAACATACCCAGCAACAGCAATAAGACTTAATGACTCAAGGCCTCTAAAGACTGAAGGTTACGTTGATACAAAAGTAATACGTAGGCAACTTTGTTGTTTCTTTTGTGGCAACAATAGAAGTAACATAAGAACAACATAAGAAATCAGCCTATAATGCTATTTCTACCGAAATTAGCCAAACGTTTTAGAACACTATATATGTATATGTATAAGCACCTTCTTTTGTGACGTTATGATACATGTAACACCACAACAGTGCTGCATCATCACAAAAGATCTGCTACCCTCCTACTAAAAGCGGATTCTGTAACAGAACTGATGCATCGATAGCAACTATAACATGGCTATCATAAGATGAAAGATGGAGAAGTACTGAAGTGTTGTTTCAATGTAGTTTTGCGTATATAACACAGAAATCATGCTATTGGGATATTAGAGATATATTTTATATCTCCAGAACCTACAGAGGAATAAAATATCAATTCTTTTGATCAAAGCTTATGCTACGCATTCTTTGTCTTGTATTGTCAAATATACTGACTTTACATTATTACGTCATTGTTGCCTTGTAATTTTAATATTTCATAGAAAATTGATTGATCGGTAAATACATATGATAAATATATGTGTTTACCTCTGTATGACTGACCCTTATATTAGGTCGAATATTGCGAGACTGTGACCTAACTATAAAATGTCTTAAAACAACTGCATGAGGCATGTTATTTCTTTTTATACATGGAAATCAATTTATGGTTCAAATTTTTATTATAACACCTATTGCTCTTTAGATCAGGATCATTGGATCATTCTGAGGCGATATCTCCCAGTAGAATCTTGCTGATGATCACATCACCGAACACTCACTAGGAGGCCTGCCGCGCGGTATCAAAGCAATTTCAGTTAAGTATCTTACCCAAAGACAAAACCACAGCCGTACAAGCCGGTCCTGAAAACGACAATGAGATTTCAAAACACCAACCTTAGCCATCGCTTAATGCAGTTCTGGCAAAATCTGTGTCCGCACTCTGTCTGGTATGGATCTCTAAGTACTAACAGACAGATTGGACAGTCATATTTGTCTTCACGGGGTAGAACGAACTCAAAGTCGTAACCTTCCTCTCGCCGTTGATTAAACTGAAATCCAGAACTACATTCACTTCCACTTCCGGAGGCCATCGTGTGCATGTGCGAGAAATAGTTCTGTCGACCCGTGTGGTTAATATTTCGGTCATAACTGGTATCAGCGTTCACACCAGAAACGTTTTGTGACCAAGCAAGAGCAGTTGACGAATCATTTTGATCCCTTTCTTGTGAATTATTGACGTGAACGAGATCATCCATTAATTTTACATCATTCTGGAGGTACGGGAAGTTGGAACTCCTCGCTGTGAGCTGGAAAACGTCATTTTGGCTGCGTCTGTAATAGAGATCAATACAAGTTCAAACAAAATGATGAGAATATGTATGTTTTTTGGTATTTTAATACGAATGACATTTTTTGTCGTTTTAATGTAAGTTGTTACATTCCAGTTAACAAGTTTACTGTATTTACTGAAGAGCTGATGTCTGAATCTAAAAATAAAGACATGTTCCGTATATATAATGTGATAATAGTCACAATATGTAAACTATCTAACCCGTCTTGCCAATACCTTACGTGACTAGTATCCATATATAAATAACCCTGACGATCACATATAAAATAGAGGAATGCACGTCAACCAGGAAGATTGAATTCGTGGATAATAGTCAATTAGCATATAGTCCCTGAATGTAAACTTGCGAAAGGTATACCTATACATCTGAAACAGGATTTTCATCAGCAAGACCAAATGCTAGTGTTCATATAAAATCACTATAACATATTTACTCTAGATACCTGGATTTGTTGTCATCTTTTAATTGTTGAAAAAAATTACACAGTGCCAACATTTACTTGACGTTTTCTTGGAAAATTACGACAGACAGTACACCTTCGTAGTATGCTGAAGTTGAATTAGACCAATTTTGATTTTCATGAATCTCCTTAAGCTCTAGGGCTGAGGCATCACTAGTCATTTTTTAACAAAAAGTGGAAGAAAAGAAACCATTTTCTCAATACATAATTTAGACGATGACAATAAACATACAGCCATACAGATGTGGAATTAAGATTCGAGAAAAATCAAAATGTCGAGACACGTTTCATTATTGTAACTGTATCTACATTGGCAGTATAAATACTATTTGATACTCCACACAGAAAATCACATTAAAACAACCGTAGATAATATCAACAACAAACTCAAATTAAGCTTGGTGTATAACTTCAACAAGACTGATGATACATTAAAGAGATTTAACAAAAGAGTCTCATGGACGAGTGAGTCGAGTCGTTAAACACATTGTACTACCTAAAACTTTAGTACAGAACCAGGAAGTTGATTATATACCAGAATACTGCAGGGCCGAACAATATATGCCCGTCCAAAACTATTTTTGTAATAAGCCTTCATTTGAAGTTTCAAATTAATAAATGAAAAATTACTCAAGTTATTGAGGGGAAACATATTTTTCAAATCATTAATGTACCAAAGGCCATAACTCTGTAAATAATGGGCGAAAAATTTTGGTTATCGAACTTGACCTGGCTTTCATGGTAATAAACCTTCATGTGAAGTTTCCAATTAATCTGTAAAAATATTCAACCGATGTGCGGCCGGATTAAAACGGTACAGCAGGCTGTCCAGCACTTTTTGACAAAAAATTAGGGCTAATTTTAGGACAAATTTAGGGCTAAAATTAGGAATGTTGTAACTAGAATAGGGAGTATGAAAGCATTAAACTGACTTACCTTTGCAAATTTGACAAAATAGAAACTAATATACAATGCCTTAATTGCAGGAAAGGTGTCTTCCAGGGTTTCAGTGTCCCAGCTGCTGTTGGCTGTGACCTTAAGAATCACACCTCTGTCACTCAGTCACAACCAATAACAATCTGGGTACATAGATCCACTGGTCAACTGCCTTTCATGGTCTACCCTGAATTAGAACTACAGACTACATTAAAACACATTTTAAGTATGACATTTTCAGTAAATTGTAAGAAATATAAAAAAGTAGGAACTGAAGTGAAAAATTAGGGCTTTTTTAGGAATTCCCTTTGAATTTTCATTTTTTTTTTTTTTTAGGAATTTTAGCAAAACTGAAAAAAATTAGGATTTTTTTAGGAATTTTAGGGACGCTGGACAGCCTGAGTACAGTGATATATTTTTAATATGTTAATCAAATCCCATGACGTTACTCCCTGTGGTGCTCTTTTACACATATCAATCCACACATATTAATTAAGGTGCATCTCAAAACTACTGACTAGAACAATAAATTCGAATGTAAATCAGGTCATATCACCCATTTCTATCTCCAACTATATAAACGCCAAACCATACATGACTGTGGTTGTCAAATATTTGGTATTTAGGAAGTGCTTTAAAACTACGTACACGACTGATTATAGACCATTACGTGATCGAGTTGACTCTCTTACTCATCATTTACAAAACGGAAGTCTTTTGCGATAGAATAACACGGTAATACTACAGTGGAATAAACCTGATATGTGTATAGAAACGCAATACATTCAGTTAATCAATGCATTCACACAACAAATGCGAGGTGTTTGTGTAAAGCACTGCTACAGTACGCATAATGAACAGAGCAGACAAAAAAACGTAACAAGGATGTTATGATACATCCTGCTCTTTCGGTAATGAACCAATGAGATACAGCAATGTATATATAAAGAAGGAAACGATAGTACTACTTTTCATACGCCTTATCAACTACATCCCCTATGGAAAGTTATAAATGTGTGATTACATCGGTCCTTCCCTGATGCCAAATTTAGAAAGAGAAGATGAAACTTACTATATTAAGCTATAATGCTGACTAGTAATACATCGCAGAAAGTACACCAATGCTAGACAAGTAATATGAGACCAATCGAAACAAACAATACTTTTATTTAAGGCCACGCCTGTAGCAGGAATACTTTACACAAGAATATATGCATTAAGGTGAACAATTAGTAAAATTATATCAAAATATATCGGTCAACTCTACAGTTGGGTTCGCCCCAAAAGTAAAAGCGAAACAAACGACATCAAATATTACCTATCATGGTATAACACGATGAATATGACAATTTGATTCTGTAAACGTTGTATTATGTAACAAATTGTATAAGTGTCCATCCCTTAAGTTAACAAATAGAGAATATTTTTAAATAGAGAGAAAAAAAACAAAACAAATACAAAACCAAATAATTCATTCCAGTATTAAATCACCCCTAAATGCGAATGTAAACAAATGATAACCTACTACAACTACACTTTGTAACGTTATGTAACACAGTCTCCATCCAATCAGGAACCTTAAATTAGCGACAAGATTTACTGTTAACTTTGTGTACACTACTGAGTTCCCCAGGTTATGTCGACTGTGATTGGTTAGTTCAATTTTATCTTATCAACTTCCTCAAAATTATCACACATAAACCACTAAGATAGGCGACTCGAAAAGCGATCAATATACAATGCGTCCACGTTCAATACAAACGTAACTAGGTAAGCACACAGTATTGTGTAAAGGCACGTGTAACAATCAACTGGTACTGACAATGTTTTGTTCCTTCATTTTTTTAGCTCCCGTATAAGGTAATACCATATTTTGTCTTATTCAACACATATAAATTATAAAACATGACATAGATAATCTTTATAAAATAATAATATATTAATTTGTTTTTGTTCATTTCAAAAACGTAAAATTCACAATTTGTTTTTGTTCTGTCTGACAGCTTCCTATTGCTAACTTCTAAATAAGTTTTTCGATGTCTATTTTGCAAGTTACCTATACACATATTCAATAGAAGTATGTCATTATTTAACTCAGAATTATGAACATATACCGTATTAGTTCAGGATGATTTAACAAACGAAACGAAATGAACTGAAAAACTGTTTTTGACAACTGTTGTAAACAAATATTTCAAACATTACACTGTAACATAAGGTAACTCATCCGTTTACATCACCGTAATGAAAAATTCCAAATGTCACACATTATCGAGTAGGGATAGTTTGTCTTTTACACATTCAGAATTTAAAAATAAACTTTCACACACTTAAAACACATATGAAAATACATTTTACCTGTCCATAAAGCAGCTTCACTTTAACGGACCACTCTCGTTCCGTTGCTAAACTTCAACTGAGCTGAACCTAGAATGCGGAAGTTTAAAAACGGGGAACCACCTATAGAATCCCAAAATGCTGGCTTAAAGTCAAAAACTAACGTCGTGATTAAAAACACTCATGGGCTTTTAAGGTAATTTAAGTCCTAATATAATGTTATTTTTGTTGCAAACAGATTTCTGATAACAATATTGGTAAAGTTAGGATAATCTATAGAAACATAAGCAATTATCTGTAAAACATCGTTTTCTTAGATATTCCAATATCAAAAGGCAACAACAAGACAATACCAACACCTCAACATAACAATAATCCAAACACAAATACAATAAAACTCTTGCAAACTATGAACAAAAGATTTACACGGAGACTCTTGAAAAGATACACGGAGAATAAGACAAAGTGTTCAGAAGGAGTAAGAAAGCGTCTTCTGCTTCATCGATGACGCCCGCCATGATAATCTTGGTCAATTCAAGTAAGTAACCTCACGTTCTCAAATGAGAACTAGGTATACAACAACTGAACTAACAGGAACACTAACGAGCATCAAACATCCCCTACTACATATAGCACAAAAAAATCGAATGTTCCTCAATGAGATCACTATGACGACATTAAAACTTTCAATTAATTTTCATCAACTTGCATCTTTTGAAACCCAGTGTTACGAGTTTGTCTGTCAGTTTACGACATATCGTACGAAAATCGTGATAATGGGAACACCATAGTTCGGGATGCAGGTATATTGCTATCCAGAAATGGAAAAATCACAAAAGGAAAATAAAAACCATCACGCTTATCATACAACTTGGTGGAAAACTGTCCATGGCATTTAATTATAACAAAAGATAGAAATTAACGTCTGATGAAGAAGAGTCTTTCGTGTACTTGATTTCCAATATAAGTTATAATACAATTTAACAATCAATTAAGGAAAACGGTACCCCAGTTTTCTGAAATTCACAAGTTTGATAAATCTGTCCGTTTGATAAAGCATCTCTGGATTATTCCGTCAATGGAAGTTGTAATGCCCAATGTGCCTCGCATTTCAGGCCCCATGTGTGGGGCCACATCTGTATGCCCATACAATCAAATTGTTCATAAGATCTATATCCAAGATTAAATTGCTTTTCACAAAAACGAAATAAACATCCCCAAGAATGTCATTTTACTGCATAAACTGTAGAACAGTTACAATCCCATCCTCCAGAAAGAACCGAGGACCAGATAAATCACCTTGTGACATTTACCTCCATAGTTCTTTTATATTCTGTAGTATTTCGGTTCATGAAGATTATTTTGATTCACGTTTAAGGAAATTCCCCTATTTCAGCACCTTCCTTAAGTACCCAGGGTTGGAGCCCGCATCTTGGCTTGCATACCAATACACTACTAACTGATGACCATAATACTGAGCAAGAGCAAATGAATTAATATCATCCATTGTGTTATTTTCCGAAGTAAGATTTATCCTCTCCGTAGCAGGAAACGGAAAAAATCATGGAAGAGAAAAATTTATTTATTAATAAAGGTATATCAAGTGTGAATGTATCCAAGAAATACACAAGACGATATGGTGTGTTTGTGATGGTGTAAAAGCGGTTGAAATTCATTCTTTGTAAAACATTCCTCAATTTACAATCGTTGCCGAAAGTTGGAAAATAACAAAGAGGATCAGTGAGAGGTCCGTATTGTACACCTAAGGCATCTTAGTTTATGTGGACAAACTAATTTGTCGACAATTCAAAAGTAATATTTCAGGCATAAATCGGGACCGACTTGAAAATATTAATACAGGATTCGAAAGGTTTGGTCGAAGCTCGTCAGAATGTAAAATATAATCAGTTGATCCACTCTTATTTCATATACAAACAATCCTGGTTCAACTGGTCAAATCAAAAAATAAAACCGCCCCATATTCTAATATTTGATATGACGCCTGATAGTACTTAATCTGTAAACAACTTTGCTCCAGCTTTACATTTTCTGTTTATGCCGAGTGTAAATATTAGTCATGTGTTTATTCGTGGTGTCCTGCGAAACTTCGTATAACATCGATTTTGGACTTACCACTATCATTTTTCTTTTTAATACACATCACTCAGTTTAAGAATGATTTAATTTCTCGTTGTATAATTTTCACGTAGAAGTTTTTCTCGGAAACTTCCTGAATCACGTTAATTTGCCAAATGATACTATCTTGGAACAGCGTGTTCAGTAATTCATATTGGTAAGCAAGCCGACTTTACTTAAGTTATATTTTGCATATAATAGCGATTAACACGTGAGCATTTAGTAGCAATCATAATTAAACGTTCAAGGAAAGAACAAAGGGATGCACCAATCTTTCTCAGTTATTTTGTCCATATAAGGAATGGAAAAAATCGGAAGATGGTGTTATTTGGTCTTATCGATACAAAAGAAAAAAAATGAGTTAGGATCATATGATTTCGAACTGAACACCAGAGAGAATCAGTCAAATTTAATGTTACCTGCAACGTTAGTTAACTTACACTATCACTTCAAAGATATTGTTTGACTATATCACTAAATTCCTTTTAAACCTTAAGTGCGCTTTTGTTCTCTTTGACCGGAAGGTCTCTGTCAAATATCAAATGTGCAAGTTTTACCTTCGCGCTGAAATAAGTTCGTATTTATTATGGATTTGAAATTTTTAATGCCAATTATTTAATATTTTCTGAAAAAAAAATCATTAGTTAACAAATGCATCTTAAGTATTTTGAATTCCTCAGGAAGGTTTTGTGTAAACACCAACTGTTGATTAATGCTACTAGTTGCACCCTCGATGTTTTACTAACGCCACAGACGTGCAATGCACAATCGGTAAACTGGCAGTATTGCCTTGCACAGAAGAAAACGTGATTTGGGTATGTAATAATATCGGGTTATAAAAAAGTAAAAAGAAAACGTAACATTAAAAAATTATACTTCCTGAAATCACTTTCAATTACGCTCGCCTTATTCAGATAAGCTAATGAGTCTAACAAAGGGGCACAACTCTTCAAAGCACAATATTTAGATGAGTTAATATTTGATAGCTAACTTTAATCCATAAATCGATTAATTTTTTTAATTTAGTGCCAATACTATGACTCTTTGATAACGTGAAAAACATAGATCCCATTCTTATTTATTCTGAAACCGGTGATTCTTACCATTCCGGACACCGGAACACGTTCTTACTCCTGTAAATTCTATTTTTGAGATTCTACCTTTCTTGTTTAATCCATTTTGAGTTACAATAAGGATTTATATATTAGATTATCCTAACGTTTTCGTTTTTTTTTTTTTTTTTTTGTTTCCTGCAATTTCACACATTGAAGTCTCAGAGTGGTTTTGTAAATAATTTGGAAACTTTTTTGTCAGTGCCTGTACAGTAACCATTATCATAAACATCGAAACTGGTCTTATATGTGAATTGCTTAATTAGATTATAAACATAAACACTTCAATAGTAACAAGCTTCAAGCCACTAACAAAGACCTTAAGAATGTTAATTCAATGGAAAGAACTCTGTGCCGGTTACGTCATGTGAGGCAACCAATGGGTTTTTCTCTCCAAGAATCTGGACTTTTGAATGTGTACACTGTGATAAGTGATAATATATACAAAGACTGATCTGATGTCTACATTGTAATACTTGTTTTTACTTATCGTAGAATCTAAATCAAATTTAAGAGAACAATAAAAAATCTACACTGGAATTTGATCATTATCTCTATCAGTAGTTTTAAAGAGCTTATAAAAGCTATGATCTTTATGGATACTACTGTTCATGGAACAAAATGTGGTTTTTTATAAACAAAGACTGCATATAAATAGTCAAACCATTTAAAACTTTACATTTTATAAATTACACCAAGTTTGTTTAAATAATTTCTTAATGCAAACTGCAAAAATATACACAATATTTCAACTGAAATATAAGTGAACTAAACTATTTAATGACACAATTAAGTAACTAATTGCAGATGTTCAGGTAAAATGTCAGGACATAATTAAAGGTAAGTGCAACACAGCTAAAAAGCATCAATATATTATATCACAACAAACACTTAATTACACTTGTAGAATTTCACATTCAATATAAGCTGTCTGGGTATTTCATTTGGCTTAATTACTATGAAAAATAATAACCAAACATTGTGTACAAGCTTGACAAACAGAGGCTTGTGTCCCATGACCTAGTACATTTGTAAATTGGGGAGTGTAGTAATTAATTTCTAGTTTGAGGCTTAAATTAAATCTGTGTCATTAACATCCATGTATGACGAAATGCCTTGTATCTACATGGATTAGATTAAGTAATAAACAAAGAATTTGACCCTTTCTAAAAAGGAATTTATCCCACATCCTTCTGAAGGAGATGACGGAACTCACTAACTATATAGCTAAATTAGGACACAGACATGTCGTTGTATAAAGATTTCCATTGTTTTTTTCAATAATGTTTATAAACATTTAAGTTTAACAGCCAACTGATCCTGTGAAGATTGTTTCCTGTCACTGTCCTGAGGCCTGTAATACTGATAATACAATGAAATTTATGGCATGAATTTATACAAAAAAAAAAGCTGAAAACTCGCACCAGTGACATTATCACTATTTAAATGTCTCACAAGAATAAATGGTTTGGTAATTCAGAGTGTATCATATTAACTGTCATTACATAATATAGCTTACCAGATACAATCAACTCCTAGGCAGCTAGATCTTCTATGCAGTGGGACGTATGTACTTTTCTGAAAAATGACAATAAAATATGAGTTAATGTAACAAAATTTCACAAATGTAGGCAGCATGTTTTCTGCAACATATGGGAGGTAACTGCTTTTTCTTTTCTATATCATCCAAAAGTTTATGTCAAAGCTGATGATATTTTACCAAACCCTTCAAATTGGTTCAAAAACACTAGATAATTAGTTTTATTTGTTTTAAGAATTCAGTAATAATCTTCCTGTAACATATCCCACTGTCATATTTCAGCACATCATAACACCCCATATGTCTAAGCTTCACTAAGATATGACTTTCACGACAAAATCTGGATCTCTTAAGATTCAAAGGTCAGTTTCTTCATCACAACAAAAAACAGCCATTTGAAATATATTATTTTCTGATAAATGTAACAGAATATATACAAAAATGTCTTGGAGTTATGATTGTTTGTTTTAATGTTAGTCAATCTCACACAAGTTTTTTGTTTTAATGCAGGATTTTTTTTATTCTAAATGAATATGATGCATGAGAAAAATAACAATGTATTGTATTTTTAATTCAGGTTTAAGACATTAAATTTATGCATATTTATTACCAGGAATGATGATGATGGATTTATTAATATTTTTATCAGATATATGTTGATATAAAGTCACCAAAGATATCGTCTAGGAAAAATACAATAGTGATATCATCAAAAAATGGGTATTTCCATACTAACGCACTGCATACATAATGTATTTGCTAGATATAATACAGTGATATGCTTCACCACATTTGCTGCAGTTTCTGGTGAAAAACCAGTGCTATGTGCATGTTACTGTCAATAAGTCAACCTCCCTGCATACACAGCCAGAGCTACATGTTGAGTGATATATTGGGTACCACTTCCTCGGCTAAATGAAAGATAATTATGATATACACTAAGTGACGTCATATGATAGGCGACAGCTGGACAATAAGTCAATCTGGGGCAGTGTAGTATGTTTATGGCTTGCCTGTGTTATACCAGTATTGCAGGTGATAATAAATTAAAAAAATTTAGGGGACACAGGGTCCATGTCAGTATGGGAGGGACAAAAAATAGTTTCAAGAGTCAAGAGATGTCTAGGCTATATATATATTCAATACTTTCAAAATTGACTTCTTATCTTAAAGAAGCTGGAATCATTGTAAGATTTTCCCTACCAAATAAATATACAGGTAATCTGAAATGATTTTGCAATTAATAAACTTAAATAGCGATCATTTTATCCTAAACTATAACCAGGCCTTATTGAACACAAGCAATCTCTCATGACAGCAAGATCTTTGTTTTATCAGAATATGAAAATTTTCACTAAAGTCTTGTTTATTTCCAGAAATATTACTTGATTAACAATTTTACAGGTAATTAGATAAATCACACCATATTTTGACATAATACATTGATGAATTAAACAAGATCTTTTGTAAACTTCCACCATGTAAGCATTTTCGAAAATGTTTTAAAACTCCCTGTAAATAACAAATCAAAAATATAAAATCTATTTGTGCGAAATTTAAGAGTCTTCAAACTCTTGGTCATGGCCATCATTTCTAAAATGAATTTTAAAATGTTCACTATATCTTACCAGTCACCGGTCAAGTGCAAGATAACTAGACTTGAAAGCCTAATGACATACATTTTATACACATAACCCTGTGACCGAGCTATTTAATGTTCAAGTGGGTTAAGGTAATTAGTGGTGACAAACTTTGATAAACATTGCATTATTTACACCCAAATTTTATACATGCTTTTTCCTTCATAAACTTGGAAAAAGATAATTATTTTCTTAAAATTTGCAGAATATTCCTGCAAAATGACAGACTATTTATCTAAGGGAAATGGTCTGTAATCAGCTGTAAAACAAGAAACCTAATCACTCACCTCCTCATAGGTAGCAAAGAGACAACTTTATTTTAGTTAATTTCGGCAATGTTCAAGATTGCCATACAAGCATTACCCATTTTTTCTTTCTTATAACAGAAAAAAGATATCTGCAGATTCAATCACAATACACCACCACAATCATTTAAAAGAAAAAAAAATATGCTTGGAAGATCCATAATGGATGACGCATCCCCGCATCTGCCTTGTGTCCCTTCAGGCAGGTGAGCTAAAACATGAGTCTTCATAGGTCTGTGACTTTTGTTGATTGAGATAAAGTTTAGATATTATATATAACTATAGATGTTTTAATTTTTTTTCAAAATTGTTTGAAAATTTTTCTCATATCTAACTCTTGTCAACTTTTCATATTTGTGGTCAATTTAACAAACTTCAATCAACCAAATTTCAGCAATATTTGGAACAAACAAAAGGGTATACAATTTCAAATGAATTTCATAGGAGGAGAAGAGGATTACTAAAGGGCTAATGCTTAATGCATACAATTTGTACCTGGTTGGATATGTAATAGTCAGATGATCATCAACAAATTGTTGCTGATTTGTTTAACATATTCTTTCATTGATTATAAGATAAGCCAGGTATTTCATGTTGCTCATGCGTGGAATACTAAGGACTATACTTGGACACCGACCATTTAATAGTTACTGGTAACTAAATGAACAAATTCTTGCCCCATCCACAAGTTGTTCATAACCCTTAAAAATCAAAGCTTACTGGTTATTTCAAATAGCCATAGAAGAAAGCGACCTTATAATCAATTCTATTGTATAATTATCACATCTGTATGTATTTAGATGGTGTTCTATGCTATGTCTGTATTGTACAGTTATCACATCTGTATATATTTAGATGGTGTTCTATGCTATGTCTATATTGTACAGTTAACACACCTGTATATATTTAGATGGTGTTCTATGCTATGTTTGTATTGTAAAGTTATCACACCTGTATATATCTAGATGGTGTTCCAAGTTATGCTTGACTAAATTATTGACTAAATTAGATCTAAAAATTGATTTTGAACTGTTTAAGTACTACACAAAGTCACATAATATCAGATGATTCTAGCATTTCCAAGATTAAAGCAAGTCACACCTATGACCTATATCAGGTTGACCTTATGAAATCATCTGAGTTGGCTATACTGCTTACTGCATTAAAATCTCATCCTGTTTGCCATGCCACTTGAAATGATGTCACTTTAACCAATCTTTCACATTTATGTATATATGTATATTCTTACTGACTCTACTGGATTGTTTTGGTCTAGCAGCTCAGTCAGTAGGTAAGGTATAAGTCTTGAAGGCCATATATTCTGGGATTGGCTTTTGTTAATGATGTAGGAACCCAGGCCAGATCTTAATCTTGGTAAAAAAAATTGTTGCTGTTACAATGGTATACTTCTGAACAAGTTCTTTCTACATGGGAGAGAACATAACCCTTGCAAAATTTCATTCACTTAGCTACGGAAATATGTATTTCACAAAAGCAGTATAGAACTCAGTCTTGTCAAGCTATGGTCCGAATCCTGACATTAATCCTTACCATAGTCAATGACAAATAATGAGCTGTAGATGTCACACCGTTACTCCACCAGGGTTTTCACATACAGCTCTCTAACCCAAAAATACCTTGATATGAAAAGTTCAAGGATGTGAATAATTGGAAGAAGTAACACAGGAATCTATCCATGTATGGCGTATTCATACAGATAAAAAAGTGACTGGTCATGAATACAACCGAAAGTAGGACCCCGCCTCTTCAGCAAATTTAGGACCGTCATTGAATTAATAATTTACTCTACCGTTATCAATCCAGATCCCAAACCCATTATTTTGTTATGACCATTTTAAGTAATTGTGTGAATATCATATCATATAGAAAATAACGAATACACGTGCGATATATCTCAATGACACACGCTGATGAAAAAATGGTGTGTTAACTTCGTGTACAATTCCATTGCAAATATCAAACATAATAGATTCGTTCACAGAGTAATTCTACATATTGATACAAATATAAGTCACTTTACGTAAAATGGGTTTTACCTCAACGTGAAAAAAACATTCCAGACATGCCTACTTCCTTCTATCTTGGCAAGGGATATCTGATCCAAGCTTCCTGTTAGAAAAAAAATCCAGTCTGTCTCACCTTTATGTTTACTTCCTAACTGCAGAGCGAGGGAAAGTGCAAAGCGTCTATATGATGGTGACACCGACGGGGATTCCCCATTACTACACACTCGAAACTAATACTACGTCGATAGACTTCTTGTGAATCAGTTATGTTGTTTCACTATGTCGTGTGTCACAATTTATTTTCAAAGTTAATTGACTTAAAGAAATTCGAACAACCCCTAAACAAAACTGCAGACATGCGGAAGAAGAATGTTTTTCTACAGTAGTCAAAACTTCTGTATTTGATCACTTTCAGGAAGTCGGCCCGACACGCCTGGTTTACTTTTAATAGAAGTTATATTTTTGTCTTATTAAAAGGTACGAGATTATACATATAGTCAATTGTATCGATAACAATATTTCACTAATAATCAAATATAACATACTGGGCTAATCGTCACTTGAAAGACATGCACAGTCGCAAATAATAATATAATAAAAAGCTAATCGACATTTAAAGACGTGTAACCAGCAGTCCTTCAGTCTGATTCTTCTTTATTTCAGATACAGACGAAATGCATTCGTCTGCAATATATTTAAAAATAGCATTCAATAGAAACAGACAATAACGCACATTCTACAAATTGAAATAAAACACTGAGAGTGATTATAATTTTGGCCGGCATTATACAATCAGAGACGTATATAACACACATGTTATATACGTCTCTGATACAATCGACTACACGCTAATCATTTCACTATTACAATTACATTTATGGTTCATATCTATGAGTACACAATTTCATAAGTTACACTGAGAAACAGTGGGAAATAACATGACCTATGTCAACAGTAATCGGAACAGTGTTAGCGAAATAACTCGCCCTAGGTAAGGTAGACGAGACAGAATCCTTCTTCGCTATACCAGTGACGTATAATACAGATTATATTATATTATTATACGTCTCTGGCTATACGTTAAATCTCGCTGAGATGAACACCTGAGATGGACAAACAATCTTATTCAATAGAAACTTACGATATATGAAAAATACAAGAATAAAATACAGTAACTTCCGAGATTCGAACCTCGGCTACGAGAATTAAAAAATAACAACTGACAGCACCGCGACCTTATCCATTACACTATCGCAGACATTGGTCAAATAGTAATTAAGTGAATAAACTGATTGACACTATACAGGTAAAATATTAATCAATAGCAGCGATCACAAATACATGCAAGATGCATGAATATATACATGGTAATAATCCGTACTTTTCAAATTTCAGTTATACACATACATGTATAAAATCATATGCAGATATATTACTTAAAAATCAAATTGCTTACTCAGAAGATTGGAAACAGGTACTAACCGTCAGCTGTCAGATTTCGAACTGTCAGATCGACCACAAAGAAATTGATTTGAACTGGTCACTGAAATTTGATTGGTCAAGCCTATCAGTAGAAAACAATACCATTCTAATAACTAATAATGATTAATATACGTTGTACATTTGGATCACGTGGCAGTCATGTGACATAGACGGTATCGATATCGCATTATAGTAATAAAACCTTAGGGAATAAATATTAACTAGGAAATACAAATGATGTACAATACACCATGTTACCCAACTGCAAACTGAAAGAAGAGAGACTTTAAATTTAAAAAGATCGTATTGATAAGTGGCATTTCACGTCAGAAATAAAATTTAAAAACAAAACAAAAACATCTGCTGACTGCTAATCTACTCGACTCTTTAAAGACACGCACTATCGTGTATTAAACCATGATTTTTTAATGACCTTACTACGTGTGTGCACAATTTGAAATGGGAGAGAAATAAAACAGGTATCTTAATACAAGTGATATCAGGTTATATGTATACCACGTTTGGGTGTGATTCCAAATTTGGAATGCTTCCGTAAACGAAATGCACATGACTGGCCGTTCTTTGTGGTGCTGACTTCAAGTGCCGAGTTATATCTGAGGTGTATGTGGGAATAACAAGATCGCCATGATAGGTACGTTGGCGTTTGTTTATTGGTGATTTAAGATACTTAATGACCTTTAGGAAACAATACTTAGTCTCCTGACAAAGGGCTAGTAACGTTTTCCTAGTCGGCAAACCTACACCGATTTTGGTGCATTTTCTATAATGAATAATAACTTCTTTTTTTTTTAATTCATATTTTTTTTTATTTTTCGACGATTTCTCAAAACCCTTCCCATCTATCATATTTAAATGTATGTTTGTGTGATCGTGTGTGTGTATGTGTGAGGGAGGGTGTGTATGAGTGTGAAGGTGTGTGTGTGTATTCATTCCATAGCATGTATAGGCTGGACCAAATTTCATCGCCACCTCTATATAATGGTTCAGAGTTTGTCAATTTTCTAGTTTGATAATTACAATGATGATGATGATGATGATGATGATGATGATGATGATGATTTGATGTTTGATGATGGTGATAATGATGATGATGATGATGATGATGATGATGATGATGAGTTGATATCTGATGTGTGGTGATGATGATGATGATGATGATGATGATATTTGATGTGTGGTGATGGTGATAATGATAATGAGTTGATATTTGATGTGTGATGATGATGATGATGATGATGATGATGATGATGATATGTTGCGTACAATTTATATATATTATCTATGATGATGATGTTTATTAAAATGTGACTAGAGTGAAAAAGATATTAGGCCCTGAAATATCGTGGTGTTTCTGTGTATTGGTGTGTGTGAGGGCGTATGTGTGTACTCCAACCATGTGTGAGTGTGGCATTGGCACGGGTGTGAGTGAAATACGTATGTTTTGTAATGAATAATAACTTGATACAAATTGATTTAACTCTGTCTGCTCAGGTGTTGTTCTATACCACGTACGCGTACGTAAGTTTATTCGAAAATCTATTATGACCGATCACTATAGTAATTTTACTTCTACATATAGATCGCTTTTTTGTGAAGCTGCTTATTTAAAATGCGACTCTTTATTTGTCTCGTTCATGTGTTACCTTCTGCCATTGCTTGGAGTGGCTGTTTGCGAACCGTGCCGACTGAAAGTGCTGTCGTCGGAGTATGAAAGTTGAAGCCATATGACGTTGGTGAATATTTAAAAGAATTGGGCATAAACGTTATCATTGTGTAAAGTTAATATGTAATAGCATAATTTCCTAAATTTACGTTTTTTATTCAGCCTTTTGAGATAACTTGACTGTATTTTGAAACCGATATAGATAGTTTACAATTTTAAAGTTTTAGAAGAGAAAACAACAACAAACATACATTCAAAGTTACGTCATGTTTTATTTCAAACATTGTGGCGTGTTTTGGTCACGGCAATCTTTATTCGGCTATTTGGTCAGCCCTAACAACACAAGCATCAAGTTCAAGAACATCAAATCAAGTTCACAAGTTCTAAAGCTCAGGTTCACACAAGGCAAAGTTTAGGTCTAGGTTTACAGGTATTAATGAGTATCTTGCTTGTTAATAACAATTTTTCAGATCATTCCATTAATTTTCTACTAAGTAATTTGGTTGTATAATGTATTCATTTTTCTAAATTAAAAAGCTTTTATGTGTTAGAAGATAAAAATGACCTTATTTAAAGACAGAAAGATTCGATCGATAGCAAGGCTTGATATATATAGATCTTATATCATTATACAAAGGACATGTTTGAATAAAATGGTACTCGTTATCGATATTATTACGACATACAGGGTAATTATAAAGTTGGCGAGGAATATTCCTTTGTCTGTTCGATTCGACAAGAAGACAATGCGAACATAGTTTTACAATAGCCTTTATCATTGACAGGAATTGCTTTTTGTTTGCAATGCTGAATACTCTACAACGTGCTTGTATATAATACAGGAGACAAAGGCAAAAGCAATTTCTTGCTATACAACGTTTAAAAGAATATTGACAATTATGACATGACGAGAGACCCAAAAATACCTAATGCGTCAAGCTCGTGTTTGATTTCCGCAAACTTTTTACAATTTCGATAATATTAATGTATATGTATACATATCCTTTTAGAATGCAGTTATTGGTAGACGGTAGCTTACACCAATACGTAATTATTCTTATTTACGCAAAAAGACAACGGGACCCTACCAAGTTCAAAGTTCAAAGTAGCATTGGGTGTCAACCGTTTAACTCCAAGAATATTTTTACAAAAATCTAGTTTTATCTTCTCCAAGTCGGGCAGTATGGAATCCTCATACTTCACTACTGTAAATCGAAGCACTTCCTACATACGTATCAAATAGACTTGACAATATGGAGAAATTCAAATACATGGATACACAAGTCTGTTTCAGTGAGAATAATGCTTTCCTACATTAGGACGCTAACTGTCATCGCGATGAATTTAAGTTACAGTTAGATTGTAGTAGCAAGCCAAAGGTGGCAAAAACTACCTACATTTTCAAACAATTGACCATTATGGACTCCGCCTCCTAACTCTATTGTATCAATCTCCACAAGCGATTGGCGGAACAGTCGATCATGGTATGCAATGTTGCATGCTGATTGTTCGACCGTTTGATATTGATGATGGTGTACATTGTATATACATATAGAGATGTTTGAGAATACGTGTGTGTATATTTTGCTTTTATGAACAGGCATGCACAACACATGTTCATAATGTTGATTATTATTGTCCGGTTATTGTGACACGTATTTGGAACTTTGCGTAAAAAGAGGTTCTTTCGCAGTGACAATTCTCGACAAGAAAGCAAATGTATTGATTGGTAGTGTACATGTAGGATGGGGAGATATTGAAAACTATTTGCTTCATAAATTTTGGAAAGAAAAACTTTAATGTAGGATTAAAGCATCCTTTAATGTAATAACTTTTCGGTTTAAACCCAAAGCCAAGGATACGTCCAATAGATACACAGATTCTAAGCTAGTTGTGTGGTTATGATCACGGGGACTTGGCACGAATTCTCCGCCCACTGATACATATATATATATAAAGTCGACTTTGGGTTGGGAGTTCCCTGGGGATATGTACTTATGAATCATTTCACTGAAAAACAAACATTTCATTATCCAACGTATATTAGTTGCCATTTAGAAACAAATAATCTTTTAATAACTAAATATCACGCCTAATACTGCAATGAAATACAGTCGAGATTACTGGTCCAAGAGAGGCAACTCTACTCAGTGGAGCGTAACGCGATAAAGCCCATATGCTTTCTGAAAACAAGTGCCTGTCGCGGCGACTTCAAATAAATGATGCTTTCCATCCATATTTTATTTTCCTAGAAATCCTTTCACACGGAGTCGATCAAAATCACATATGAAGTCGATATACGTATGTCCGGAAATGAGCATTACCGCATATTATATAAAGGTTTAAGACACATGACGGATTGTACTTTAACAGAATTGTCAGTAAATTGGTCCAGTATCGAAGCCGCCGAGATGTCGTCTCTTATCGAAACCTGGCGATCTAACAGAAAAGAAACAATCAGGTTATTGCGAAAACTCGCAGATGAACTGGATTGTATGCAAGTACACGTGGACAATTCCAAGTTGGCAGGAAATACCATGTCTGCTGTAGCTGGCGTTGGCACAGTTGCTTGTATTCTTGCTGCCCCGTTCACGGGCGGTTTGTCCACTCTAGGTCTAACAGGGTGTGCCGGCCTCGGAGTTGCTGCAGGTGCTGTCAATCTTGGAGCTTTGATAGGAAAACATTTCCGCGAAAAGGATTTGATTGAGGAGGTTCAAAAAGCTCTCAACAAAGATCGCAAAGCGGGCGATGAATTAAACAAGGCGTCTATTGACGTTTCTGGTACATGTAGAGAAGCAATACAGCTTGGGATGGATGTTGTCCACGTCGTGAAGGATACAGGTAAGGTAGCCAAACAGGCTTCAAAAGCAGCGTCGAAGAGCTTCTTTGCTGTTTCAGTAGTCCTTTTACCGCTGGATATTATGGATTTGATACAATCTATTACCGACGTCAACAATGGATCCACCAACGCAACTGCAAAAGAAGTACGACGCATCGCTAATGAACTTGAAAAAGAGATGAGAAATATGTGAAAATTACAGGTATTACTAATTTGCATTAGCATCAATGTTATCAGCTCATTTTTACACATTTACGATTTTATTACTGTCTAAATAACACAAGGTAAAGGAAATATGACCTATTTAAGTTTTATATATAATTTCTTAAACAGAAAGCTTTCGTTCCTGACACGATGTCCTTATTTAATATCCAGGCATCATTATTGTTGGAATATGGTTTCCACGCTTGTAATTCAAATCATTATTTTTTTATCCATTTCTTTACATAAATTGAAACAGGAAAAAAAATCATTCTTCTTTATATATTCTTTTAATTCAATCTGACATTTAAAAAAAACAAATTCATTTTCGCTTCTTTTCCTAGTTATCAATTATTAATAGATATATTATCTAAATCATCAATCAATGGAAGGCCGAACACAAATAAACGATGTAATATCCAAATCCATGCTTTATATTACTTCTTTTTTAAATATGTAATACTTTAACAAAGAAGCTAAATTAAATGGTGTATTTTGAAATGATATTTAAACAATAAACTGTAACCAAATTGGGTATACAAATTGATATGAAGCAAAATCCCGGTGGAAGATAAATATAATGGCACCCATAACATCATCTTAATAATGATAATGTAAGTTGTATGTCCATTTAGAAAGTGATGTATGTTTATATTTCAGACTGAACATGAACGGGAGGTTCGAGGTTCGAGCAGCTGGACATGCGACATATATGTGGAAGGACTATGTATCTGTATAACCTCTTGTCTAACGGACACACGTCATACAACTTGACGTTTGGTATATACATTTCTGGCTTATCAAAAACTTTTAAAACGTTGTTCTTCGCTGTTTTACTAAAAATGTTTTTAGAAGTACATTGTGTTTAAGGATAAGAAATTCATTTTTTCCGCGACATCTCAGATGAGGACGATTTGAAGACATTGAATTGGTGCTTTGATACAGGCGTGTTATAAGTGGTTCATCAAGTATTTCAAGTGGTCACTCTTGAGCCGTCACAGAAAAGGGCATATCTCCTACATCACAAAGACTTGTTTATGCATGCTAACTTACTTTGAATTGTTCATTTATTTTTATGCGCACAACTTTCTACAGCATATTGGATAAAGCTTTATTTAGTATATCTCATTCTATCATGATTTAAAAACATATTATCAATAAACTCTTTTTCCTTTAAAGACTGAAATGGCTTTGGGTGTTGATCTTGAGCAACTTGTCTTGTGTGCTAAGTCTGCGTTGAAGAAATCGGACTTACGAACAGTTTTAAGTCTTATTGTAATAAATTGCTCTTTTTGTAAAAAAAATATTACATTAAGATTAACCTTATTGTAATAAGTTGAAAATTGTTACAGAAAGCGACGGTTATTGTAATGAACACGGAATTTATTACAATAAGCTTAATAATTATTACAAAAAGCGTTGAAACTACATTTTCACACGTGCACATTTATGCGTCCTAATTATTGTACTGAAAAGTATTGTTATACGAATGGACTGTCCTAATTGGACGAGGAAGGTGTATCTATGTGAAGGCATCACGCACGTAGACACACTCACAAGCTTCGATAGGAATAGATGGTCGTCTGGCGGTCCTCTTGGAGTTAAGTTTTAAAGGGTCACTTAGTCATATACATCATCTTGCCCTTGTTTAATGAAAATGTTAACGTATACAGGAACAATTGTCACGATTATACTTTCACAATAATATTAAGAAGATACCAGTCTCTCTCTCTCTCTCTCTCTCTCTCTCTCTCTCTCTCTCTCTCTCTCTCTCTCTCACACACACACACACACACACACACACATACACATTTTGTACCGTTTTCGCCTTATTTTGTTCCGTTACGCAGATATATTATAAGGCATTCGAAGTTTTATTGGTCTTCACATACTTATACCCCTCATTTAGTTAAGGGGGTTTATAGAAATCACTTCGGGCGTCCGTCTGTACAATGCTTCCGGTAAGGACATCTCGGAAACTATTGACAGATAAAATTCTTATACACGTCATATCACCACTTCATCAAGTGCTACATATAATAAGATGTTACGATAAAATTGTGTACAGGATAACTCATGATTTTCCAAACAGATTGAACAAATTTAAGTCATATTCATACCATAGCTTCACACGATCAAATTCTACATCTACTTAAACGTTGATGGTCATCGGTCAAGGTCAAAGGTCAAATGTCAAATATCACCCTTAACCAATTTGTAAATAAAAGCTTGTGTTCATGATATTTCATAAATCCCGGATCAAATGTGATCCATATTCATACCATAGCTAAGATTTTGGTGGTCATTGGTCAAAAGTCATATTCGACCACATTTGAAATAAAAGCTTAAAGCTTGCAATTGTGAACAAGTTTCTTATATATATATTTCGACAGATGAAAATGAAAATAAAATGTGAGAACGAGGGGTTTATCTATATATTTAGATTCATGGAATCGACACAGCTCTTTGATTGAATGACATATACTGTAACCTACAATACTTATTATCATTCAGTAAAATATTGAAAGCACGTTTATATAGAGATTTTAATTCTTAATGAATATGCCATCAAAAGGAAAGTATTAGTGTATGGAAGTAAGCCAATATAAGCTGAAGAGAAGAGTCAAAGCTCCTGTAGTAATGTATACATAACATGGTTCATGACGGATTTCTCTTACTTACTGAAGCAGGAAAATGTACAGACTTGCTTGCAGATAAATATGCATCTTCACGGAAATCGTTTGTCGGATCAGTAATCCAGGGAGGAAATCCTATCTTTTCCTGTAGCCTACACAAAACAAGAATATTGAATATGATTTTACTGATATAAGTAATTCTTAACACTTATAACACTTTTCAGACAGACTTCGACATATCTAGTAAAGTTACGAGAAAATGGATATCAACATAAATTCGTTACCGGTGGGTTCTGATGAATTCCTTATGGAGGAAGAGAAGAGAGCCTACTTGGAAAACTTCATACCATTCACCATTATGATGGCTTTCATCTTCGTCGCTGGGACTATTGGAAACATTACAGTCCTTGTTATCTACTTCCTCAGATACAAACCCTCGACATATAGGGTGTGTATTCTGACTCTTGCCGCCATTGATCTATCTAGTTGCACCATTGACGTGCCAGCCTACATTGCTGAAGAACGATTCAGTTATACATATCGTTATGGCGTACCGTGCATTGTGTTTGAAACTTTCCACTTCTTCATTCTTAGCTTTTCTTATATGATGTTGAGTTTCATTGCGATAGAGCGATACCGCAGGTCGTGTAAACCCTTTGCTCATCAGATAACTTTGAAAGAATCAAAACTGATCTGTCTAGTTCTTGGAATCGCGTGTGTTTTTATTTCTTCGCCGGGTATTTGGATCCATGGGATTGTCCTTGTTCAAGTGGATGGCGCAAATGTAACTGGTTACAGATGCGACGTGATAGACAAATCATCAGCACTGACAAAGGGTTATTATGTGCTATGCTTACTTCTTCTGCTTGTTTCTTTAATCATATGCGGGTCTATGTACACACTAGTAGGTCGAGAGCTTGTCAAAAGAAGAAACGAATTGAAGCAACATTCTGCAAAGTCGGCAGTTATTCCATCTGTGGCAAAGGAGACTGAGGGAGAAAGTACTACATCAAAGACACAAGGCACCAACGTGGAGAACGCAGAAACGTCGTCACATGAAGTTATGGACATTGAATCGGATCAGATAGACAAAAGCGAAACCACTTCCATCGATCACAACAATAAGATCAGTACGGAAGACACATCGCATATAATTATAACCAAACACAAACACAAACCCAAGGGGTTTTTCATGAAGAAGCAAAAACCTAAAAAGAAATCTCTGAAGTTGAAAATGGCAGAGGATTTGAGGAGGAAACGGTACAATAAAAGCGTCAAGATAACACTGATGTTTCTTGTGGCATCAATTCTTTCCTGTTTGTCGGCATTTCCTTTGCTTCTACTCCAGACAATCGAAGGTATCAGCTCGTCTGCAATGAATTACATGGAAGAGAATTTTTTGTGGCTTTCAGTTATTTTGGCACGATTTCAACTTTTTAATCACATATTTAATCCGTTTGTGTACTGTTTTATGGATGAGAAATTTCGCAGTGAATGTCTTCTACTTTGCGAACGTTTTAGAAATAAAATTTCGGATAAGTGTTGCGGAGGAAAGTCAAAAAATGATATACAGTAAGAATACCATATCGACCTAGTTATTGTCACAACGAAATAAATCGTTCTTTTATGTCTGACTGGGCACAAAATGGAGTAAAATATCATAAATATTCAGTTATATACAGAATACATGGTCTGTTTCTTAAAATATAAGCTGTATTTTGGCGAGGGTGAAGACAAAAGTCGCTTTTGTCCCTTTGTCGCTATAAGGAAAAGTACACTACAAGTTTGGCGACACCTGTTGGTAAAGTATAAAGGGGTTAGTAAAAAGTTGGCATTTTAAATGGCATTGCCGTGGAGAGAGAACAAACGTAGATGCGATATTGAAAGAAAGTCGAATGAGTGAAGTTGTGTGTATAGTATTCTATTTTCTTTGAGCATCTTTATTGTTCATATATTGCGCTCGTTTTATCGACTTTGAGTTTGGATTAAGATTTTGATAACATGTCAGTATTTGTTTCGTTGTTTTCTAGTATTTTTTTTTAAGCATTTCCTGTTATTGGTGGTACCGGTAGTAAGTCACAATTAGGCAAATACTTAGTATATTCAGTTTTATTGAAAACATAGGACAGTTAATAAATGTATACATAAATTTGGCACATAAATGTTCTATCTGGGTTTTTTTTTTCTCAAATTACAAGTCATCTTTCACAGAACACCTTCATCAATATAAGATATATATTTTACTATCTCTCATAACAATATATAAAAAGCAATGGGTTCAAACGCAGGCAGTACTAAGAATTTTACAATTTCGGTATTTCATGTTTTTGTCTTATAAATTCTCCTGTCCCACAAATAAGAGGTTATAAATAGAACTTGTGAAAAAAGCGACTGAAGAAACTTCGTTAAACATGCAAATTCACTCTTTCAAATCATTTTATTATCACCGCGGAATGTAACAACTTAGGTGAAAACATCAAGATGATTTGCAATTTTGTCTTTTTGAATTTTTTTTAGACATGAGGAACTGACATTTTACTTATAAAAATATGGAGAGTATATGTAAACAGTCTAGGATTTTCGGCTTTTGGTGAGCAGTAATAGAGGTTTCCACGTTCTTCGAGTTGTGCGTTTATAGCAAACCAATATACCGGTATGTAAGTAGACAAAGCAGTATCGACCAATAGAAAATGCCCTTTAGCAAAGGATTTCTATTCATACAGTGGCACTGTATTGGTAATTAACAATCTGGTTTTCCCCGTCATACACCAGCGTCAGAGTATTTTGTGTTCTACTAAAATACCTTATTTCAAATCTCATTTTGATCATCTCGTTTCTGGAAACCCGTGAATTCTAGGTAGCACATTCCTATTAATCATTCTGATTAAATGAGGTCTCAATAAGTGAGTGGGAAAGACATGTACAGCCTACACTACTAGATACAGTACCTAGATTTTGAAAGAAAGCAAGAGTCTAACTTTCCCAGGACAAACATTTTTTTTACCAAATAACAACTCTGATATAAAATTGATAACATGAGAGCAAAACATGGACGAAATTTTATTTGACTGATAAAAAAAAAAGAGAAAAAAATATTGTTCAACAGAGTGAATAAATTTTATTAACAAACAACATTGGAACAGTTAATATCACAGCAGATTTCAACAATAATGAAAAAAACAATCGGTGGTCAACAGTTTTGGCACATGATGGTCACAGAAATGAAATCATTATTAAATTATGGATATCATCAACAATTTTTTTTAACAAAATATCAAAGACTGCAAAGGAAGTTACTGGTAAACTAATCAGGAAAATTTCATTTGTTGTCACTCTATTCAATATAAATTGTTTGGCATACAAACATTTTTGATAAGATCAGGCTTTCACATTATCATTCACATTCTGGTTTTGATATTTTGTAACACTTTTTTGTGTCGGTTTATTTCCCTCTCTTTGTGTTTTTTGTGTAAATCACACCATAATTTCCCTGGCGACAATACTTGCTTTCCTCTTTCTTGTTCCAGGGCCATCATACACATCTTGACTGTCGCAAACATCAAATTCATGATGCTGTCAATAAAAAAACCCACAAACAAACATGTAAGAATATCCATAACAAATGGTAATGACAAAAACATACGAAGTGTCTTTAGAAATAACATATGTATTTAACATCAATCAGCTATAAAAATGATTGTAGGAAACAAATCTACAAGAGTAACTTTTAAAAAGAGTGGGTTTTTACAGATATCAATGGAGGTGCTTCTAATTGATGATATGTACCCAATAAAAGACATTAGTATTTGAACAATATTAAAGATAAGTAATCCAGGGGAAAAAAAGCATTATGAAAGATGTGAAGAAAACTGTATTTCACTTACTCCATCCACCTTCGAGATTGCCCTTTTCCTTCCTTTCTTTGTATTTGATGGTGTTGCAAAATCCTGATCTTCATTGTTCATTTTAGTATCAAGTCTTGGACTTTGACTCACCTTGTTAAAAGAATTCAAAAATGAATGTTTTTTACTAATTAGGATTAAATAAATAATTCTGAAAACAATACACAGCATTAAAATCAATATCTCTCAACAAGTGTGATTGGAAATCCCACCACCATGTTATATGCTTTTCTTCAATAAATTAGGCAACTGTTGCTATTGAAACAAGAGGCCTCTAATGGCCTCCATTGCTCATCCGGTATTTAATGTTCATTAAAAATGCAAACCATGTTTATCACAAATACATTAACATGTGCACCCCTGGCATTCTAAGTGGGCACATCCAATCACTTTAATCAATTTCCTAACAAACATTAAATTCTTACATTCGGTTCTAAACAATGGCAATTACAACCTGGATTGAAGGTTATATATCATTTCTTTTTCTCTCAAACTTCGTTGGGCTTTGACCAAGTAACACATTTCCATCAGATATTCCATTCTCAGACTTTCAATTTACCCAGAGAAGTGACTTTGATAAGGCTCAAGGTCATTTCTTTTTGCAAACTTTGTTGAGATTCTTCCAAGAGACCTACCTGCCAAATATTGTGATTTTAGAACTTTTGGTTACCAGAAGAAATTGTTTAAAATTTTAACAAATTTGACCCCTGTGACCTTTAATGTGGGTCAAAGTAATTCTTTCGCAAATGTTGTGAGTTCTGATGAATTGTTTAAAGTTTTAACAGTTTCGAAACCTGTGATCTTAATTATGGGTCAAGGTGAAAGTAAGTCAGAATTCATACTAGGAACTTATCAGTCAAATATCCTGCTTCTGGGCCCATTGGTTGGTTAGCTTAGCAAATTTGTATTCTGTGACCTTGAATAAGGGTCAAAGTAATTTCTTTTCTTAACCTTTGTCAGGCTTCATCTATTAACCTATCAGTCAGATATTACCTGAATATGTCAAGGTCATTTCTTTTCTCAAAGCTTGTTTGGCCTTATCCAAAGAACCTGTCAGCCAAACATCATTACTTTGGAAACCCTGCTTATTGAGAAGATACTCAAATGAAAAAGTTGATGCTAGACAGATATCAGACTGATAATGGATGCCATGCCATGGCATAAGCTCACTTGGCCCTTTAGGCCAGGTGAGCTAATGAAATCGAAATAACCAGAAGTGGACCTAATCCTTCATTTCAAAAGTAGTTAGGTGCAATCTTTAACACACAAAACTTTACCAATTACTGTCTTTTTCGCTTTGCTGATGAGAATTATCACTGGGATATGTGCAGCTTTGACAATCCTTTTACCCATTAAACATTTACACATCAAATTTTTATCAATGTTTGTCCATAATGAAGATTGTACATAAGACACACAAGTGAATTTCACCTTTTAATACAAAGCAAGGTACACTAGCAATATAATTCAATAAATGTTGTGATTCCACATACGTCTGATTATTTTTGTAGAACATCAAGTAGATGTATTTATTCTGGACTGTGCCTTATTTGAATGGAATTACATATGACATGCAAGTTAACATGCAAGTTATGGCAAACCTTTGGGACTAAAAATTTACTGGTAGTGTCTACCACCGAATAAATTCAAAACATTATGTCTGAATTGGAGATGTATTAAAGAATCAACTTATGTTTGCTATACAACATATATGATAAGAAGGGCAAAATTATACAGCACTATAGGCTGTGAATACAAAATGTATATAATTACAAACCTTATCATCCACCAAACCTTTGATAAATTAACGTTTCGACAGACAGAAAGAAAATCTTATTCTGTCCTGAATTGAACTCAAAACTACCTCTTCTACAGGTGCTCGTGTTTTCTTCTTGCTCTTTTTTCCTTTTTTCTTTCTTGAAAGACTGATACTGTCTGCCATCTCAGTCAGCTGAGAAATCTATTCAAATAAGAGGTACACTAACAACCAGACACCAACACTTAATTGAAAGTAGATATTTTTTTTCTTTTTCAATCATCTTGGATTTTACTAATACCTGAAAAAATAAAATAGTTTTTTGATTCTGAGACAAATATGTGTATGAATTTCAATACAAAAACAAACAAAAGAAAATAACACTGTGTTAATAGGATCTTAATTCAAACTCAATTTGTGATGAAACTATGGCAAAATTAAAAGTGAACAAAAGAATGATTTACAGGAAACTCCTGAACAAGTTTGCATTAATACTTCATTTAAAGCAGAAGAAACGATAAGTTAACACTGCTGTTTGGTAAGTACCACACAATACTTTGATAATAAAATTTTATACTAGATGGCATATAAATTATACTATCTACATGTGTATATTTGTATTTTAATGACCTTGTGATAACCTTGATCCTATTTTCAAGGTTGCTTACTCTACACATTCATTTGTTCAAGTTTCCATTTCTTATGTTACTGAGAATATAGCATTATAACAAGGTTTTACTATATATATATAAAATAAGTATCAAAGACAATAATCAAAACTTAACAATAAAAACATTATACAGTTGAAACTCGTCTCGAAATCTTGAGTCAAAATTCTGCTTGAGACAAAATAATTTCCAAGTCCCATTTTCTCTCTTTCTATCTTTGTAATTTTAGTAAAAATAGCTCTAATTTCAATGATTTGAAATATCGTTTGAGTCTATGTGATTTTTCAGTCCCTTCAATGGTAAAGCAATGGAAAAATCATTCATTGTCTTGAATTTATTTTTGTCAAAACATCGGCACGTCTTCTGAAGAAATCGGTCAATATGTACAACGAGTATAAGGTTACCTGTGTGTAACACATGGCTAATTACGGCATATATGTCTATGTACACACAACACTTAGTCTGTGACGATTAATTACTAGTTTAATTATCAAATTAAATGTTGGCTTCTTAATTAGTGTTACCATCCTGTAGTAGTGACTTACTTATATATTAAACAAGTCGCACATTTATACATGACATGATAATTTAGCTTGGTTGCATGCATCTTTAAGAACGCTAAAAACAAAACCGTCAAACCAGTAAAAACATTTGGACAAAATTTGATCCCCACAACTCAGAGAGAAACTAATTTTTGTACTTGTTTACTAAAGGACAGTGATCGAGTACTTTGGGGATTTAGTGCTTGAACAATGCAGTGCTGAGAATATTTTCTATTGATAGAATCTACGTCTGTGATTTGTTAAGTCTAGTGCTTTTATGATGTTTTCTATAACAGGTAAAAACTTTCCATGTCACCTTTTCCATATGTTTATTCATTCATCGTAAAGTCATGCTAATATGATTTGCAGCTACATACATCATTTCTTGTTGCATATCAAAAGCAAATACAAGCCATAAAATATATGATATATATGTGCTTTGTCAGTAAGGAGAATGTACATGGATCAAAGTGAGTACCAGTGTAGCTAACTGGTATTGTTGTTACCTTTTTTGTTATTTGGATGAATAAACAAAGTATAAAGTAGAAATATAATTTTTCTGTTTATTTACTGCCATTTCAAATAATAGGTTAAATTATGCAGTTTGTACCATGGTTTACTGTGCTATTGTAGCCCTTCTTCGTTCAACTGTACATAATCAATGTCAGGAAACTGATGTTGTCAACTTTATTTTTGTTGGAGTCAAATTTCAGATGAGCCAAAACATTTCCCACAGTCCCTTGAATTACGATATAACCAGTTTCTCCAGAATTTCTATTCCACTGTTATCATTTATGGAAAGAAAGTAAAAATGATGTAGATATTTAATTCACATACCTGTGTATCTTCTTTTGACTCTGGCTGTTTTTCGTTGTGTTCCTGTGGCTGACAATTTTTCTTTTTGAAATACCTTGGTATACCTTCATTCAAAATCTTACTTTTCTCCACCATTTTCCCAAGTCTTTGATGAAAAAGAATTATTAATGTAAGAAGTATTTTTATAGGTACCAGTATCAATTCATATGAAATATATATATGTAACAAAATCATTCAAACTAAATATTTAACTGTACCACAAAGCTATAAAATCAAAATGTAAGGTGTCCATGAAAGAGCAAATGTATTTACTGCAGCAAACTACATCTAAAATAAAGAAAGGCAACATATCAAATCATCATATACCATTCTAACTAAGCCTGCCATGCTCAGAAACTGCCAGTTACAAATACGTTTAAATGAACAGACAAAAAAAAAAGATATACCAATATATATCCTCTCAATAATTGAAAATAATGTTCAGGATATTTAGAGGAAGAATCAAAATGAAACTAGAATATGGACACACATCAGGAAGAGTCCCACACTCTAAACCTGAATGTTACATTTATATAAACACCCTAAACTGACAATTTTTCATTTGAATCTTGGCACCTTCACTTCATAATGTAAAAAAATATTGTGTGTTAAATATGAATAAATATTTCAAATTTGACCTTCACCTTTGATCTGATGATAATGAACATTAGTTGGATAACTTCTCATTGACTTCAAATAATATACCAGTAACATATTTCAAATCTGACCTTGACCTTTAACTTGTTTCAAGTGACCATTGACCAAATAACTTGACCTGTGGTCGATTGACTTCTCGTTTGATTTTGGTCCATTACACTTCATTATGTCAAAACAAAAAAAACGTATCAGTAACAGTTTCTAATTTTGCCTTAACCTTTGACTGGATGACCTTCATCTGAACTTCAAAAACAAAATAAAAAATCAGACGAACAAACAAACAACTTAATTAAAAAGTTGCACCTGCATCTTCCTGTTGGCCCTTTGTCCACTTTTCTCACATAGAAAATTGAAAAACAGAAAGATTCTGGTAAAACACCAAAAACACTGGAATACTATCATCAATCATTTGTTACCTTTTCCCTTTCCCTGCATTGCGAATGAAGCCTTCTTTTTCCAATCTATTCATAAGACCTTGAGCCACAGTCATCTCCACACCAAGTCGTCTAGCTAGGTTAGGTCCAATTACTCTGTTCATCTCTGAGGTCGCCATCAGGGCTCTCCTCCACAGACAAGTAGCCTATATTCATAAAAAAATATTGCATCTTAGTTGCTGTTAAATATCTATTAAGTGTTAGTATGGAGGATGGTAATTTGTACTCTTTTCATGGCCCCATGAAGGTATGAAGTTTGATTGAAATCCTATGAGAATGGAAGTCCCTTGACTACGGATAACAATTAAAGAGATACAGATGGTTTCTTTCAAAACAAATTCAAAACTAGACAATTAAATCATTTTTGAAGTCCCCTCAAATATTCTGACAGGAATTATTATCAAGTACATGCCATATGCACTGACGAACTTTGATCAGAATTGGAAAATATCTAAATCTGTATCAATTAGAAGTCTTTTTCAATGATTTAGCCCTCATTATTAAACAGAAGTTACATAAGTATTTGTTGTGTGCGAGACACATAATAAAAGGCCAGATATTGTAGTAAAGACAAGTACATGTAGCTTACGAAAAATAAAAATATAGGTTTCAGCTATCTACTAGTAATCATTAAATGTGCAGATTCTTTGAAGAGGCATTATCTCAGTGGCTTGTTTACTGTGGATATAAAAATTCATGTTACTTGTACTCCAATTGCTGATAAAGTATTCAGGTATGGATCTGTTGGTTCTTTTTCTTGATTTCCTGGCTACAATAGAAGAAACAAGATCTTTGAAAAACATAACAAAACAATCTTTTTTCTTGTACTAGAAAAAATGTTCATCATTATGACACATGTACAAAATCAAAACATATCAAAGTTGTTGCACAATTTCATATATTTCAAACTAGTATTCCAACACAGTGATAATTCTGTCTTATAAATGTACTACAAGAGCAATAATACATCCATTTCAGAACATTTCTATCATCATAACATGAGATTGGTGTCAATTTATTACTATTATCCATTGATTTAATGTATGTGACTTTAAAGCACTTTTTCCATAATTTTGTTAGTAGTAGGCTGTGTAGTGAAAGTAGGAGGCTGTCCTGCCGTTTTCGTGTAGTCGTGTACAGAACATTATTATGGAACTGGATTGGTGTAGGCGGCCAAATGATCAAAGTAGCTGGTCAAATTGGCCGGCGACCGGCTCTTATGGAAAACCCAGAATAATCTTTTAACATATGATTCTACCAAATTAAGAACCCAAAACATTGGAACTCACTAAAATGGAATATGAAATATGATATTTTTTGTCCAATATCTTTTTCTTTCCAAATTAACAAAGTTTGCAGTATCATAAAACATTTTTAAAAGTTTTATAAGTTCAAATACTCCACCTCTCCACAGACATCACAGATGTGTTGTGTTGGAGCATCTGCCTCAGACTGCACAAGGAAGCACACTCCATGCTGCCATACGTTGCAAACAGCACACAAAATCATTAATCCATCATCCTGCAAAGAAATGAAAAAAAAATGGAGCATTGGTAAATTATTTCTGAAGTGTAATGTTTGCAGCTAACTGCACAAGCCGAAATTTGTTTTTGAAGTCATTACACGAGAGATTTATTTTTATATCATTATTTATATCACTATCTGCAGTGTGAGCTATAGTCCTACAACAATTTTTTACATAAATACTTTGACCATTGGATTGAAAATGCAATACCACTTAATCAAAGTTGTATAAATCAGTCAACATAGGTTTGAACAACAGTCATTTTCAGAAAATGAAGGCTGGGAAAAAATTATATAAAACTAGAACTTCTGAGGATATCTACTACCCATTGCAGATGCAAAGACCTCTATACTCCAAATTCGGTCAAAACTCCATGAAAAAGTTTTTTAAAAAAAAGAGTTGATAACTAATTTAACCATTCACTTATGCAGTTGAACCCCATTATCCCGAACTTGTATAACTCCAAGACCCTGTTAAAGTCAAAGTATTTCGCCTGTCCCTCCCAAACTTTTTACCAAACTTTTGATCTCGCTCAATTGAATACTTAGATAACTTGAAGACTTCCAATGGTTCCACCCACTTTCGAAATAGCAAAGTTTAACTGTACCTGTACGGTCCCCATAAAATCCCCATAAACCAAATTTAATCAAAATAATTCAATTTCAACCAACCAGAGGCCACAATTTGCCTTAGCATGGTTGTCATGGCAAAGAAGCATATATAGTGACATTCATAACTCTATATACATGTACCAAATTTGGTCAAAATCAGAAAATATCAAATTTTGATCAATCATAGGCCAGAATTATGTTGCCATATTAACTGTTTTGAAAACACCTGATGTATCCTACTATAGGTTTTGATAAGTTATAACATATGGTCAAACAACAAAATCTTTTGAATGATCAAGGAAAAAAGGTCATTCATAGTAAAACTTGTTTACAGTTACCAGTTACCATGGCAACCAAACTTTCAGAAAAATAAAAGTTGCATGCACATCAACATATGGTCCTTTATATTGGTGCTTTGCTAGGGACATGAATGCAGGACCTCTGACTTATCTAAGGCTTATCCTTCACCTATGGAACTGAAGTTCTTTCTAGCAGGGATGTATATGTAGCAACTAGAAACAGTCCTTATCAGGGTTACATACTCCCTTTGCAGTAAAGAGAGTTTGTTCTTAAAGTTTCTCAGTGTTACAGTGATATAAGTGAAATTAATTCTTTAGTCCCTACACTAGCACTAACAGGGTTCATTTACTAAATGAATGCCTCCACAAGAGATTAAACATCAGGAACCTTAGGAATGCAAGGTTAGCACTCAACCAATATAGATGAAGAGATGATACATGTATTGCAGAAGCATTATTTTATTACTTTCAGACCCAAAAAAGTACCTACACACGTTACATAGGCATGCACATTAGGTTTTAATGGTAGTTAGAATTTATACCCTAGGTAGACAACAAGTGGAGAATCATATACAAACTATCACCTATCTTGGCCAGTAATGTCACAAAACATACCTCATTACATCCACAAGGACAACGAACTCTGAGAACTTCATCTTGGACTGAAGTTTGACTCTTCTGAGATCCAGTTGTATCAATAGCTCGGTCTGTCGAACCTTTAATAATGATGAGTAAACAAGTTACCTTAAACCTAAATAAACACACTTCATTATATTTCTATAGCACAAAATCTTGAATTGCTGTATTCCCCTACTTCGATGAATGCTTTCTAGAGACTGTACAAGATACTGATACATGAGAGCCGTTGACATTGATTTTAAACCTGATAATCACAGGTTACTGTTCAATTCTTCATATCATTCTAAATATTAGTGGTTTGGTAAAGAAATAGTCCTAGACTGACCAGGCATAGCAGGCATTTCTGTTGGTACTACAGCATCTGGTGTATGATACTTCTTGGATTGCTTCCCACGAAGAGACATCTTCTCTGTTGATTTGTTATCATTAAAAGAGTAAACATTGCCTTTACACTCCTGGATTTCTTTTTCCTAAAACAGAAATTTTAAAACATTACAATGGTAATTCTACTAAACAGATGAACAAGATATACTGCAAGAAGTGGCTATACAACATAAATTGAAAGGAAATGTGATTAGATATAGGAATGGAAGGTTGAAATGACACTCCAATAGTGTGTGCCAAGATGTGTCCATGCAAAAAAGCATGCTGACTCTATACAAAAAATTGCCACACAATGCTATGCCCAAAGCAGAAAGAATGCGGAAGTGCATTACAAAATGAAACCTGTACCATGTAAAAGAATTTATTGCCTTAAAAGGTATACAAATATGAGGAGATCTCTGAACATTCCAAATACAAACAAATCAAACTGTTTTTCAGGAAAATACACATACAACTTTTTATCATGATACTTTGCCATTGAGCCTACAAATATTGAAAAAAAAAATGTTGATAACCAAGAGAAGAGGTTACTAGAAAAGATGGAAGACAGACAATATCTTACTATAATATCAAAGAAATTGATGAAAAACTTATTACAATTCTGAAAAAAACAAATTAGAATAACTCCTCTTAAAACAGTTGATTCAAAATGCTATTCACAACAGGCTACTAAGTTGGAAAGAGATCCATATGTCAAGAACTAAAGAATATATCGTCCAGATGAGTAAATTAAAATGCTTAAAGTAATGCAACTATGTTACAATTTGTATGAAGAAAGTCATTGTTTAAGGAAATATCTTCAGTCAATTACATCTTATGGAGTAAACACTAGAGTACACAATTCCCCAGTTAATTTGAATGATAGATTAATACATTTTATTTGATAAGAAACCTCTTTTTCCTTTTCATCCTCCTCTTGATCCTCCACACACATCTCTTCTTCTTGCACAGGATTTGCAACCTTTTCTTCATCCTTTTCTTCAGCCTGGTCATCTTTCAATTCAAACTGCTTACTGTCTGTTTTTATCCTCATTTTTATTCTATAGACAAATTGATTCACATACACACATTATGTACACATCTAAATCAAGCATATCAAAATCTTTAAAATAAAAAAAAAAAAAAAAATACATTTATTTGTCTCTTAGAGACTAAATACATGTTGCATATGGCACATTCATAATTTTGAATTCAATAGAATTTCAACGTCTTAATTTATGAGCAAGAAAATGTAACATGTGAAACATTTCTGAGAATACTAAATTACTAAATGTTCACTTGGCTTATCTAAAGTAAACTTCAACTGCAAAGCTTCATAACTGTGCAAGTTGCAATGAAATCGGAAAACAATTGTGACACTACTCTGGTAAGGGCCAGAACAACAGCTCTGGAAACACATGACAATTAAAGGCTTTAATGAGTTACAGCATTGGCCAAGTTTCATTAAAATTGATCTAAAGACTGATTGGCTAAGGGCATTACAAAAAAGCAAAAACAAAAGAATTGTTAGTACACAACAAAAGGCATTAAAATTAAGATATATATACTTACGTATGGAATTGCTAGATATGATAAAAACATTTTAAAATCGTTATTAGATTCTACCATCAAATTATTATATGCATCTTTAACTTTTCAACTGGTAATTCAGAACAGAATTTTTCAATTTCAGATTTGTACAATTATTGAATCATAAGCTCTGCTGGTTTACTAATACACAATATTTACTTTTGGAATTTATGAACAAGATAAAAAAAATATCAAATCGATAATTAAAAAACATTCTTATACAGTGAAGACATTTTTCCTTTTCATCACATCACTTACAGTTGAGACATCTCCAACTTTGATGTTCATAGGCTCTTCATCAAACACAAATGAATCGGTCTGTGCTGGCTTGAAACCTGGGGGCTCATAATCTTCTGGTGTACCTGTTAAAGGAAGAGTGCTGTAAAACACTTTATCATTCAACTGTCAATACCAGATGTAAAGCCAAGGGCTCATACTCTGATATTAAATATATTTACAAGTGAGATCTTTAAAAATCAAGATCAAAGGTTTGTTCAGAAGTGGGTTAACAAGTAAAATGTTCAAACTAAAGAGCTTATGTAAGAAAACAATTCCTTATCACTTTTGAATATTTGCTTATCTTATGGCGACAGGGTGAAAGACTTCATATTTTTGATATCTTAATACAATATCAGTAGGACCATATAAAGAAATTCTTCATTTCATGTTATCATCTTTTAGAAAGCAAAGCCCTTGGCAGCTCTACATTGACTTACATATATGTTAACTCGCATTTTCATTTCAAGTATGGAAAGAACACATAGTGATTCGTCTGGACAATCAACTTTTAAAATAGGAGTTAAATTTATTCCAAACAAGAGGCTCAATGGGCCAGTATCAATCACCTGTTATGCAGCTTATACAACATTTATCCAGTATGCTACATGCCTAACACTAGCACCCTGCATCTTTTGGTTACTGAGAAGTCATTTGAATATTTAAAATGCATTTGACACTCAAGATTTTGAAATTAAGTCAAAGTCATTCATATAAATAAACTTGTTATTAAGAGGTTGTTTATATATAATTAAACATGTTCAAATTCAGTGGCCTCTAAAGTGGGTCAAGGTCATTCATTTGAGCAAAAATGGTATGAGAGAAAGTCATTAGGAAGGGAAAAGTTGATACTGGATGGGCAGACGATGAATAAACAGAAGACACAATGTTTCGAATTGTGGCAATGGGTGGATAATGGATGCTGCACCACAGCATACATTCACTTGCCCTTCAGTCAGGTAGGCTAACAATTAAATTACTAGATCAAATTGGCATGATTTTGTTGATATATTTTTGTGATATTCATTTCATGTAAATAAGTACCATGGACATAGAAAGAACATACATTCATCATAATAAAGGAGCTTCATGGTCAGCATCACATCATCTGGTAAAGACTTTAATGTCTGGGTCAATACAACCATTGTTCTCAACAGTCTGATAGTAGCCTTCTTGGTCTCAAAAACAGAGTCAGCACTTGCAATCTTCTTTTCATTTCTAAAAACAGAAATATCCAAAAATGAATAATTTTGAATTCTGTTCATATGCTACAATTCATCCAAGCAAGTTACATAACATAAATAAATTTATCTTTAACGTTTTTTTAAAACCTATTTAATTTTACTCACTAAATTAAACTTCAAAGTACTGGGTATATGTTGTAGTACATCATATAACTTCAACTCTATGTTCTACCAGGCAATTGTCAATCAGAATCTGTATCTATAAGGTCCAGTGTAACAATAAAATCACTTCGAAATTTTACCTGTATAAATGCATGTGAACTAATGTGTGAAATCAGGTCTTTTTATTTGCATACATTTGTTAGTTCTTACATGTATGAAGCCAGAGCAACATGTATCAAGATGTTTGTCAACTATATAATATGTGTTTATAACTTCTAACAATATGAAATGATCAAATGTATCACTTACTTCTTTGCTTTAGTATTTCTTTACAGATTTTCAGAAATATGTTAGCTCATAATTAAAACTGTGGCTGTCCATTTATAGAACATTTGCCAAGATATTGATCCCTGAATTTGCACTTTGTTGAATTAAAGCAATTAAGGTCAAGTCATTTAGAGGTCAGAGTGACATTATTTTAGACACTGCCTCATTGAACAATGATACATGCATCCAGTGTAGGAGATACATATATATGACTACCATATGCACCTATATGCTACCATTTAAATGGCACTAACTGATCAAGAAAAGTCAACCAGTTATAATGTCAACTAATATAGCTCAAGAGATGATTAGTGTAAAAAATATTTGGAGTTTAACAACAAAAGATTAGATAAAAAACACAGAAATAAGTCTTTTTATCTATGATATAAGCAAAAAATTAAAAAAGTGTTTTCAATGCTTCTTCTTTTTATAATATTAGATAATTTTGTACTGTTTCAGTAAAAGGCTTACCTATAAACATCCATTTCTGCAGTGTTTTTGTATGAAAACTTGAAGGTGTAAGATTCAATGACTGTCTGCAAAGAATTAAACCAAAAAATAAAGTTTGAAAATATCAATTTTATAGTTCTATAATACCAATAAATACTGCGCTATCATACTATATACTTGTACAAACATTTTATATTACACAGATTTTGTAAGTGTGCTGACACTGTGTTATGTAGCACAATTGTTAAATGATAAGACAATGAGCAGCACCCAACCTCCCTGCCCTCTCCATCCCCAACCCATCCATCAGCATCAGTTCTCAACCTCATAATGTTTACTCTTTAGCATTAAAGTACATGTATTGTCTCAAAATAATGATATTAATGCTGGGAGAAGACTTGTTATGACTTCTTTTTTTTGGCAATTTCAAACTGGAAAAAAACTCTTGCAACTTGCTCCCCTGTAAACTTACATCAGGGTCCTCTGCATCCAGATATATCTGAAAAGTCAAGTATTTTCATCTTCAAAGCCAATTAAATCATAGTACAGTGAAGTGTTTATCTATCTATATTTCAATTTCTATGAAATATATTATGATGTTGTACATGCACATGTATGTTTTTTCATTGCTGCATTAAAGTGTCATTTTGGGTATCAACCAATAAACCGAAGGATCAAATTACATGTACTAGATCAAATCCACTGATTATAGACATGCAAAATGCATAATATCTATGTGATGTCAGGGTCAAATACAATAAGTTTCAGGATATTTGTATCTTGATCTAGATAAGTGAAGCTGACACTACATAATGCAATTGATTAAAACTATACTTACTCCCATGATAAGCATTCTTAGCTGAAAAAGGGAAAACATTTCTTTACTTTGAAGAAAAAACATCAACAAAAAAAGGCAGTCTAAGCATTAATTCCAAAGCTTAAAAAACATACAAAAACAGACCAAATGCTTTGACTGGAATAGAGATGCTAAAAGCATTTATATAAAGGTAGACAACTCTTACATAATTATACAGTGTCTTAATGATGAAATAACATTGAGATTTACTTTCATATTTCTTATCATATAATTCAAATTTGTACTGCAAGTTTATATCTCCTTGATGGCTTGATAAAGTGGATAGACATTTGTATGAGTTTATAATTTTGTGCTGCTGAATTAGTAGATACAATATATATATATCCTGGGTCTGTGTTTACTGCTTGAAATAACTAACCATGGGTAAATTGTTAGTTTAAATATCAGTTATTACCACTTCACATACACCACTGACTTAACTAGCCATAGTCAAATACCAAGAATCTGTACAATATCACATCATGCAAAAAATCATTGGGAGTTGATTATCTTACATATTTCTTGTCAACAGCATCAAAACAACCTTTGACCCATTTAATGACCTGGGATGCACCTGGACATGCACTATCATCTCTCATTATTTTGAGGTTCAAACCTGGAAATAATAAAGTACAACTGGAAAAATCTCAGATGGTATACATATCATTTGAACTTTATGGTGATAATTTGATCATGCAAATTTGCTGTTCATCAAATCTTTCTGCTATCAGCTATAACAGTTGATCATTTGATCTACATTGTGAACTAATTATACTATTGACTCTTCAGTTTGATATTGAAGACCTGTGTATCTATATGTATACATATGGTTGTTACATAGTACCAGAGTTGTGACATAGGATGACCTTCCCATTTGAAGAATCAGACTCACAGTTGTATTCTTAGGCCATGAAGTGTTTCATTTATACTTTATTAATACATAAACATACTTATCAAATCATCTTGGTGTCATGTGAAATTTAAAAACTTAAACTAAAATTCCATTTAATTCACACAATATTATCAGATCATTAAGTCACAGCATTCCTGAAATTTTTTAATAAGATCACTTTTTACTCTTTTAGCTACATACATATCCTACATTACATATATATGTACATTTTACCTTCAAGGCATCGGTCACCAAAAGCATGTTCTGGAAAAATTGCCCTCAAGTATGCAATATTAGAAATTGCAACTGCAAGCAACTTCTTGACAAACAATGCTGATTGCTGTTCAGTTACTTGCTCATTTGGAAATATTGAAGACCACTGAAGACAAATCAAATAAAGCAACTGATAATAAATTATAAATTTGGTATATATGTCAATATTCAATCAGACTGACTGTGTGATATAGTATCAATTAAGCTGTCTTTATCATATAGTATAAATCATAAATGTAAGAGTAACAACTACAAAAGCTTCCAAGTATATTGATCTACCCTATGACACAACTGCCCTGCACATCTTCAGGTATCCAGCCAAAGAGTGAAGGAAACACAGAATCGCCTACTTTAAATTAAGCGTTGGCTCTACCCCTTGTATTTTCCTAAAAATAAGAGAATGTCTACCAACTGGTAAATATGGACAATGTGAATTACACATCCTACTTCAACAAAGTTTGGATGTAAACAATAACAAACATGATTTTTTTTTTACTTACAGTGTTAGTTTTCTCTTGGGGTCTTTGTAAGGTGGCTGTACATGCCATATCTTTAATAGAGTAACAAATATCGATATCTGAAATTTGTGAAAATTACACAAGATAACAACTACGTGGGTAATAAAAAGTACTGCGGGGAAGAACAATATATGTTCAAAAGGTTTAGAGGGAAAATTATGCTACATGTTTTAATGATAAATTAAAGCATATCAAGTTTTAAAGAGATGGATGAAAAACTGAAGAAAAAAAATCAAACAAACGAAAGGTGGAGATAAAACTTTAAAACAAAAAAAACAAAGGTTAAAAACTCTTCCCAAAATTTAAAAACACAATGCCATTTAATCAAACACAATTTCAAGTGATGGTTATAAAACCTACGAAGTTTCAGAGAAATTGGTGAAAAACTGAGCAAGTAGATCTCCATATAAAAATAGAATGGCCAAAAAACAAAGGGTGATAACTCCTTCACAACTATTAATCATACAGCTTTGTAGGAAAAACTTTATGTCATGGTGATTAAGCTTGAAAGAAATCAGTTGAAAACTAAGACACATTAGTTCCGGACAAAATTGAATTATGAAAACAACAATATGCAGTAACTCTTCCTAACACAAATGAATCAAACAACTCACTTTCAAGAAAACACAACTTCATGTCATAGTGTTTAAGCCGATCAAGTTTGGAAAAAATCAGTTGAAAAATGTGATTTAACAATGGATGGACAAAGCCATACAATAATATGCCCCCGCGAAATTTTTGACAGGCATATAAAAATTGCAAAATGTTTGGGCATGATTGCTCACTCTCTTACACTGTTCAATAAAATTGCAGAAGTTATTGAAAATAACCTATGATCCTTGAACTTAACCGGTGACCACCTAAATATGATAAAGTGTAGAGTTTGATATTAAGATTCTATAGGCTATATAAGAGCCAAATTTGTTGTTAGGTTCTCAAGGTATGATATTGATTTTGAATGGGATGAGATTCACTGGGAAGTAACTTGACACGACCTAACAGAAAGGACAGTTTTTGGTTACAATATATATGCCTATGTTGAAGTGGTGACGATCATCGTCATGATTGGGAAAAAAATGATAAATATTCAAATAATCCCCATTTGTTGAAAATCAATATTTTTTGCGTAATCTTAAAAAAAAGTTTGACTCAAAATGTAAACTAATTTTGTACATGTACTAATGTACATTTAATTGTTTAAGAAACAGCCAAGTACATATATATGTAAATAGTCTGAAGGGCCCTGGCTCTCTATACAAAATTTTATTTATTTCTTGGTACCAATCGATAAGGCGAACATGACAAAAAAGTGGATAGTCAGAAGCCCTTGGACTATCCGTACAGACAGACGAGCACTCAAACATTTTGAAATACCAGGCTATTAAGAATCGGGGATTTTGAATCACAGGGACTTTATCTAACTCCTGCCGTTTGACTTGTCACCATCCCCAACCCCTTTCCAACATGTCGAAGATCCATATGTAATATTTTCTGACTTCTATGTATTTGTCATGAAAGGTGCCTTTAAATTTACAAATACAACGAAATGCATTTTCTAGGAAAAGATATATCTCGTAAAGACATGATTTTGATAGTAATAACAATGAATTTATCAGCATTGCCATAGGGGACTACTCGATTGCTCCAATAAGAAGTCCAAATACGTCTTGTTTATGATAATATATTGAACCGGACAGCTTACATTTCTCAATAATGAAAAGTGTTTTCGCATCTCACCTTTGGCTCCTGCTGGTTTCTTCCTTTCGTGCAGACGACAATCCCACAATGCTCATTCGCGGAACTGCACGTGAAGGAAGACTTTTGCATGAAAACGCTTGCTTATTTCAAATGCATACGCCATGTATTTGGTTTAGTAATTAGGCATCATTCAATTGAAATAAGGTACTGCGTCGTACATGTCTAGCTGTTTTTAATTTTAAATACCGCGCGGTTTTAATGTTTACTTAACGTATCTTTGACTTTTCAAACGCAGCAAAGACCCCGAACACAAGAGCTCCGACGACTTGCGCAGAGCTGTTGCTAGCAACAACAACTAACACATCCGGTGGAAAGGATTTTGACTTGCTGGAGGAAACGGTGAGTTAAGAATCAACATTTTGGATAAAATATAAATAAACGTAACAGAATCATAAAAGTTGTTAATGGCAAAGAAATCAGTTAAGACTAATTTAACATTATAATGTACATAAGATAACAGAAAGAGGAAAGTAAGAAAATTCCTGCCCTGCCCGCGTCCTGATCCCAGTCTCCTCATTTTATTCGATGAAATTTACATTCAGTACCTGTACAAGCCAACATGTTAGTCTTATTTTGATAATATAAAAAGTAAGAGTAGCAGTGTAAAAAACGAACATTCATGGGTTTTTAAAAGTGATACCCCTATTTCTTATATGATATTCGTCTATGAATTTACACACACCTGTCACTGTGTCTAAATCTCCTATATGTTGGATGTATTTACTCAATACATAATGATTATTGAAGTTGTCTTGTGCCTTGTAATACATATGGTTTATTTCAAATGATTTCTTCATAATTTGCACATAACTTAGAAATTATCTATGCATCATTTCTACTTATAATGAATGCATTATACATGTAGTTGCACTCTAATTTATTCTGATGGCCTGTGGCTGTAGGCTGTAATGTTGGTTTGGAATTTATTGATACCAGAATGTTTCTCATTAACACCAGAAACTCTTGATATAATGTCAGAATATTTTATGTTATATTAATAGTTGGTTTGTATCCATAAGTAAATTTACAGTATACTTTTGTGAATCTATCTGCTGACATTTCTCTAAATCTACATGTAAGCAATAACAGATATTCTGTCTGTCCCAAATGTTTGTTATTTTGATTCTTCCATTTTATTACAATCTGTATATCACTTAAGATTTGGTTTAGATATCAGAAAAAATTTGCAAAAGTTAAAAGAAAAAGAGGAAAAAACTCGAGTGATATATACATACAATGTTTGTTTTCATGACAAGAAACAAAACTAATTTAAAAGATATTAAAATGTGAAATCTAATTTAAGGAGAATTCAACTTTTGTGGTATGCATGTAAATAAGATTCCCAGATACTCTCTATATATATGCTGTTTAAATGTGAAGAAAAATTGTTCATCTACATTCACACTCTTATCTGATGTCAATTATATCTTTAAATACAAAACTGATTGATTTTATCAGTAAGCATATGGTAATAAATTATTATTAGTGTTTTTTTTTCCTTTTGTTTTAGCCATAGAAAACAGCAACATGCCTTCTAATCCAGATGAACCCTATTACTGTTCACAACAAATCAACATCCCCCCATCTCTACCAGACATTCTGAAACAGTTCACCAAGGCAGCTATTCGCACACAACCCAAGGATGTCCTTGCTTGGTCAGCAGCGTAAGTACAAATCAACTGTCTCTGGGTGTGTAAAGAAATTTAGACCAGTCTAAAAGATAGTGTCTGAACAGTAATTTCATTTTATCAAAACTATTCATAGATTTTTCTGATTTCAAATACACTAAATGTCAACAAGGTAGGTTTTGGTTTAAATTCATTAAGATAAGAAAATGGGGGTTACGCAATAGAAACATTATCAGTTTTACATTTCTTTTTATAGTGATTGTGGTTATAGATACATTAAGTGTAGTACAGATGTACATGTAATGTAATTATAGATTACGTGTTGTAATTATGAATTACAACAGTCAAAATGATTGCAAATTACTTACAACTTGTGTTTTTGATATGTAATTAATTGAAAACGATAGTTTGAAAATTGCATGAAAATTGATTTGTCATAGTACATCTTTTTGTATATTTATTTCTTCCTGCATATAACAGATATTTCAGAGCTATGTCTAAGGGAGAAACACCGCCTGTGAAAGAAAGACTGGAAATGCCAGTAGCCACACAGAAGACAGATACTGGGTTGACACCTGGTCTTTTGAGAGTTTTGAACAAACAGGTAAAGGGAGGAATGACCTACAACTATGTAACACAAACACACTCTGCTGGCAAAAAAAAATTAGGGTAGAGAACACAAATTAGAAGCACTGATGTCCACAAAATCATAAAAATCCCCAAATTAGCATGTACTGTTAATGGGCATATACATGAAAGGTCCATATTGGATAGGCCCCCAGTGTAACAAACAACACTCAGTGTTGAACACTTTAAATGTACCTGAGTATATATATTTCCTTAACAAAATGATTGAAAAATCAAAGTAATTTCGAAAGATTAAGAAAATTTCATTTCTGATGGTATAAGATTTTATTTGATTTTTTGCAAAGACAAAAAATATGTCCATTTAATGTTTACATAAATATAATACACTATGTAAAACAAGTCACATGTAGCACTTTGTAAACAAAACACTTAATTATGAGTAACTGTATATCATGATTCAGTCTGTACCTGAGAGATCTACATGTGTCTGACCTATCAATACATGGCTAAATTAAGAAATGATCTTAGCTGAACTCATATCCTTATAGAAAATAAATAAACATTATGGCTCACTTATTCATAAGTCATTTCTAAATTTATATGAACCATGATAGAATCATACATCAGTGCAATAGAACTGCATATCATGTGCATAAATGTACTACAGCAAATTATATGCATTTTTCTATAGAAAGACATTGTGCATTTATCCTGAAGACCTTACGTGCACATTACACACCATATGTAACATTGCGCAATCCCATGACTGTAAATGACATTCATGTTGTCAGGACATGACTCTGGTGTAATAAATCAGAGTATTTTTAAGAGCCTGGTATCAAATTGTAGCTGAATGAATATTTGAACTAATTGACAACCTCTGATACACATTTAAAAAGTAATCAAATTAGCTTTATATTTACAACAATTAGATCATGTTTTTGTGTATTATTTACATTGTAAACAACAAGATCTTTGTTGTCGTTCTGTATACTTTATTTCTCACTCTGCATGAGAAATAATAAACCCTCATATTTACTCTAATTCACAACTTTCTTTTGCAGTTATCTCCCCTAGATCATCCATGAAGGTTTATAGTTTTAAATTGAAATTAGTTAGAATTTCACTGAACATAAAGTTAGCCTAGCACAAATTATGCATCTATGACTTTTGAAAAAAAAAAAAAAAAAAAAATAGAAATGATTAAAACAGAAAGTATGTGCATGGCCACATATGTTAAGCTATTAGAGCAGATCCCTTTTAGAAAATTGTTTTATTCTGACCATCTGTCATACATTCCCAGACACCGACTCTGACTCAACTGTGAGGTTTCAGACCTACTATTGGTTAGGGAAGTATAAATCTAACTATAATAAATCCTGGTATTATTTGAAAACTGAATATCTAAAGTTGTCTGTAGTTACATGAGTTGATGACAGAACAATTCCTATAAATTATTAAGCACACTCTTTTGTATAACATTGAAAAATGTTAACAGCTTTAGCTATACCTATGCAGAAAATTTGTCTTGATTTTGATTGCAGATATTGACAAAGGACTGTGATTTTTTATCAGATTACACTGTAGTACGTTCACAAATAACTTACCTGCTGAAAAGATTTCATGATCGGATCTGAAGTTCTCGCATATGACATTCAATACTTTCTGTTCTGTAAAATAGAATTTTTTTGTGATATAATGTACACCAAAATATGAAAACCAAAAATATTTTGTCAATAAATGCAAGATAATGTTCCAAATATAGAAATAAACATTACATTACAAATAAAACAACATTTTTTTACTACTAAACAGATTTAGAGAAAAGACAAACTTAAAGTCTATGTCAGTCCATTCTCTCAATACCCTAGGGTTATGATCACTTTTGTTCTCTGCATCACTTTTGCATTTCATGGCAAAATTTAAGTTTCCGTGTGTAACACCTTGTGGATAAGACAAGAAGACTAGTTTGATCCTTTGATGTACATCAAACAAATCTCAAGGTTACATAATGGTTTGTTGTACTGCCTTTGAAGTCTTTGTAATTTTCAAAGGAGCTTATCAGTCTGTGTTTAGTCAGTTTTTTTTTATCTCCTGGAACCACTGTAGACCATTCAAATTACTTCACCTGTGCCTTCAGTTTTGCCATGACATGTTCCAGGGGTGCAGATAGGGAAAATGATCCTAACCCCTGAAATACTATGAAGTAGTAAAGGGTATATTCATCTAGAGAGTTTTCATTGCTGTCAGTATATTTGTACCTCAGGACATCTTAATTAACAACTTTTTTGGTATCATGCAGCACCTTACTGTTTTGGTTAACTGCCTCCTTCAGTAACAAATAAATAGGTTGGATTTTATCATGAAAAAATATTTTTTGAGTCCAATAAACAAATGTGATATGGTCTTACCAAGCAATCCTCTTGTATTCTAGTATTGGCATCTAATATAAAAATAATGATTAGAGATGAATATATATCAAATAACATTAGAATAGTGAATTAATTGAATTTATATTTTCCTTATAGTCACATGCATTATGTTTTCTTTCCTAACAGCTGGGACCCAAGAAAACAGTTCCTCTGAAAGTTGTGGAAGAAAAATGGCAGGATGTAGCACTTCCTAAGGAGCAATTTGACGAGATTGTTCGAATCGGTAGTTTTGGTGGTGATGTAGAATGGAACAAATTCTTCACACTGGCTTGTTCAGCATTAGGGGAGGTAACTTGTTTATTACTTTATTCTTTTTTGATTAGGTGGTATCCAATTCAGCTCTTACTCATTTTAGTGCCTACCTAATCACTAATGATAGATATGGTAAAGGACATATAATGAAATGTCCCTGTGACAGATCAATCAATAATGGCCCTATGTTAGTATACATATAGGTACAAACTGTGCAGTGAGAATATCCTACTAGCCAAGTGCTTAAGAGAACTTTGGTCTTAAATAACAAATCTTCTTTGTTGAATATTGTTATTTAATTTTATTATTTCCTTTCATATCATAGACCACTTGCAGATGTGCATTTTTAGATTTTTTTTTTCTTATTCTTGGTTACTATACATATGTGTTTGTGTAATGACCTGTAGCTCACAGTAAGATTTAAATTCTGGGAATATTTCTCTTAAAACTTTATTTAACTGTGATTGTGTATCATTTTTTCCAACATCAAACGGAAAATGGAAGTGATGATGAAATTAAAAAAAAGTTATACTTTGTTGGGAATTTAAGAAGAAAAATCATAATGTCTGAATGGAAAATACATACATTTCATCTGTCCCCGAGAAAGAACAGATTAACAGTGTAGGTTAAATTATTTCTGTAAATCACTTATATTTCATGTGGGATGAATTTTCATGTTAATATATAAGGAGAGTGAATTCAAATCTGTCTCATTTATTTGTAAGAAAATAATTCTGGATGGCATCCATGATGAGTTGGTTACTGAATCTGAATCTGAAAGTGTTCTTCCTCAAATTGCTCATCATTTGCGAATTTAAAGTCATTTCTAGATCAGCGTTTACAATCATGTATTCATGAATATGTCTGAAGGGGTAAGTTTGCAAAATAAAATCTTTGCCAAACCTAGGTGATTTGAAGTAGTTCCGTGGTGACTGGATGTTAGATACTGAAAATCAGGGCACAATCGCGTATTCCAACATACGTGTGAACTTTTTAACAGTGAAGGGACCTAATTATATTACAAAATCAAAAACAAGTCTACTTCAGTTTAGAAAAATGGATTTCCTCGAATGTTAGATAAAAAAAGATCTAATCTAGAGTCAGGGATAAATTCATTTTTGGATCCCGACAGCGGGATATGTACCTGGAGTCTACCTGTGCATTAATAAGGAGCACTGTATTGTTAAGTATTGTGGATTTTTTTTTTTTTTTTTTTTTGTTTATATATGTATGATATATGCATATATTTATATTACCAAGTTTACATAACTTATTGGAAAATACATTTACTTTATCAGCTTCTTCATTTTCATAACATAACACAGAAATTAAAGAATACATCAGTTCTTTGTATTGATTCATGTCGTTCTGACGATAAAGTTCACTGTGATCTATCTACTCTAATGTTTTTATAAAATTTGCTTTTGGAGTGATGGAACGTGAATGCCTTTTAAGTACATAATTGCTTTTTTGGGTATAAACATCTGCCATGAAATATTGTGAAAGGAAACTGGGTCATTGTGCGGCTGTCACCTGCTAACGCACTATCACCAACATGTAGTGTAATGTACTTTGTGTCTTGTGTCTTCCAATTGTCTCTTACGAAACGCTAATCTGCCTTCTCATTAATGAGCCAAGAGGAAGTTGTAGAGTGAAATGTAGTTTTTGTCCATTTCTTTGATGTCATTGTTGACAATTATTATGGTTTAGACTACAGAGTGAGAGCAAATGTTAATTGCACAACCAGTAGGTTTCCTAGCATGGGGGTGTGTACTTGAGCTACTGCTAATTATATTGTGCAAGTAATTGGAAGATTGATTCTGATTACAAGAGTATCCTTTGCAGTAAACAGATTGAAGAAACCAAATTTGGTTTCCTTTTTTTAGACGGTTTAAAAGAAAGAAAAGTCTTGAGTATTTTGAAACTTTATTTACATGTACCTAGTATATATTTATGTAGTTGATTGAAGATTTATCACCTATGAGACTAGCTGTCTTCAGTGGGTAACTTAGTACTACTTCATGTGCTATATGTATTTTAGGTAGGTTTTGCTTCAAGAAGAGAAAGTATAAAACTCTACTCCTCAGATGAAAATTGACTCTTTCTGGTTCAGTGTTGATATTTCCACCTAAAGAAAAGTTGGGGTTTGTGTAATTGACGGTTTTTCTACTTACAACATAATCTGTTGTCTTCTCAGTTCACATTGTCTGTCCTTTTGTGTTGGTGTCTCATTAGTTTCTGATGTCTTCCCTTTTTTTAGTGTCTCTTTAGTTTCTGATGTCTTCCCTTTTGTTTTGGTGTCTCTTTAGTTTCTGATGTCTTCCCTTTTGTTTTGGTGACTCTTTAATTTCTGGTGTCTTCCCTTTTGTTTTGATGTCTCCTTAGTTTCTGATGTTTTCCCTTTTGTTTTGGTGACTCTTTAGTTTCTGATGTCTTCCCTTTTGTTTTGATGTCTCCTTAGTTTCTGATGTCTTCCCTTTTGTTTTGGTGTCTCTTTAGTTTTTGATGTCTTCCCTTTTGTTTTGGTGACTCCTTAGTTTCTGATGTTTTCCCTTTTGTTTTGGTGTCTCTTTAGTTTCTGAAGTCTTTCCTTTTCTTTTGGCATCTCCTCAGTTCCTGTGGAAAAAATAAAACACCATTTTCATTTCACACAAAATATTATTTACACTGAACCCTCAGGGAATTTTTATTTACATCCTATCTATTTGTGGTTATCAGCAGTCTTAGAATTTCTGGTTTTGTGGAATGGAGGTGAAACAGAACTCCGTATAGAAAACTACATTGATATATTACCAGTGGACTCGTCTATCACCTTCAGCTCTTTCTTTGAATTTGTTTGTCTCCAGCAGCAATTGGTCACATTTATTGATTACATTCATGGCATTAACTCCAAGAAGAAAATAAAGAATATGCAATCTCATCAAACTGGTTGTGGTGAAGTTTAATGTCCCCTGTTACTGTAGAATCAATGATTGGACATTTTAATTCTGTAATAAAACACTGTGTTAACTGTTCCATTTTCAATACACTTTGGGTCTAACATTTCACAACATACAGTGGTGATTGAAACACGACTCCCATGCATTTGCGACAGTTCTTGCATTTCATCCATTGACATACTTGTTAGAGGCCTCAGACTTGTGGATTTATTGCTCTTAAAGCTGTAGTCAACTTGTATCATTCACAGCATAAAAATAGGAGTACTTAGTGAAATTGGAAGTGCTTTTACTGAAAAAACATGGCCAGTTTTTCCCTATGTAGAAATGCTGTCACTTGTCATTCATGGTTCAGATGGCTATGTTTTGATTATGAAAAGTCAGTAAGTATGTTGTATTTATGATAGAGTAGAGTGATGTTTGAGGTAGAATTTTAGAATTCATTAGTACCAATTCACAGATCCTAGATATAATTTTAGTAGGTGTTTGAGTACAGTATAGGGATTCATGATTGACCAGAGTGATGTTTCATGCAAAATTTAGAATTCATTAGTACTACTCCACATATCCTAGGTACTATGGAGTTTGAGTTACTGTTGGACCAATACAGGCTTCATATACTGAAAGGGCACATGTCTGGTCACTTTTCAGGTCACATGGGAGAAATCAGTCCATACTCCAAACACAGGTCATGTCACCAAAAGTCCTAGCTGTAAGATTCTGATATTTGTTGGTTTTATTTGAGTCACTATGGTACAAAGACCTTCCATCACTACAGGGATGAACTATACAACTCGGGAATTGTCATTGAGCTAGTATAATTAATTTGCATTGATTGTGATTATAGGCATTCATGTGCAACCTATAGCTCTAGCATTGTGTTCATTGATTACAAACATTTGTTATCAGCATAGTTAGCATATTTGTAATACCTTGGTACAAACTACATGAACATTTATGCCATAAATAAATGCATAGATGTGCATAAATTTTAAGATTAGAACTGATAAACCATGCATTTGTATTTAAAATAATCATTAGATCAACCCGAATGAAATATTTGCGATTGATTTCAATATTTGACTTTAATCAGGGCTGTTTAGGTTGTATCTTCTACTGTATATTGAGTTTGTGCTACAACTCTCTGGTAATGTCTGATTTAGCTATGAGAAAACTAGTGTCAATTACAACGCCTTTTAACAATTAGTCTTGTGCATTTCTAAAACCGGCTGCATTTGGTATTGTGTTTGATTTTGGAGTGTGTCCGTTAGATAGATTTCTTGCTGTGTTTTTTTTCTCAGACAGTAGAAAAAGGGTGAATAGGTAGATTTTAATGCCAATTTCGATAAGATTGCTGTTTTTTCCTTTTCAGCTTGAGAATAAGAAATGTTAATAAACAAAAAACCATACACATTTGAATTGTATCTTTCAGAACCTGACTGATGCGATGAAGCTTGTGTGTGAGATCTTAACAGCAGATCCTGAGGGAGGCCCAGCACGGATACCATTCCCCCTGTTCAAGGAGTTGTATACATACCTAGCACAGATTGATGGCGATATTTCACAGGGTCACATAGATGATACCATCTCCCATCTCAAATATGATGTGTAAGTCAACCCTCTGGTGTCTTCCAAATGAGTCAGCTTATCATAATATGTTTTCCGTAACCGGCATGCTGCGTTTTACTACATTTATTAGATATATATTGTCGGTATATGAAAATGATATCATTTTATTGAATCATGGGTCTGCAATATAGCGTGCCTCCCCATCTAGATATTTTTTATTTCTTTCTTTCACTGTGGATTTTTTTCAGTCACCTCGGGTTTCAAAATTTAGGCCCTTGGCACCACTGACAAGCCCTAGAAAAACAAAACGGCTGTATAATGCATATTTAATTCATCGTTTGGCTCATGTGTATCTAACTCTAGATTTGTATTAAATGATGGTATTAACTTGTGTGTTTTTTGTACAAGCATGGTTCACTGGCACATGTAAAGTGCTGTAACAGGTTGAGATCAATCTATAGGTTAATTCAAGGGGATAAAGCACAACGTCCCTCAAATGCTTGATTTGATAAAATGTATGCAGTGTTGTCTTCATTCCTGGATCACTATTCTGTACTACAAGTACATGTAATGTAACACTGATCTTAATACCTGGTCTCTACTCTATATCAACTAACCAATATAACAAAATTGTATCATTGTCAGATAGGTATATCATTGCATCTGTATAGATATTACATGGTCTCTCTGGTATCCAATTTTTTAGGGTCCTGTTTAAGATAATAAAAAAAAAGGCATTCATTTTTTCATTAGATTTACCAATGCCTGGCATTGATTGATGAGTCTGTCTCTTCATATCAAAAAAATTATCATAAATTGATTTTGAAATCTTTTCTCATGTAATCGGTGGTTATTTTTGTGTTTCAAAATGGTTACATTAAGACGATACTGTTTTGTTTTAACCACTCCACTTTTTCACCCAGAAGGCTCCATGTTTTGTAGTCACAGAGCAGAAATGTCTCTACAACCGTGAAGCAAAAATTAGAATCATATAACCCAATGGTTTTTGAGTTTCCTATAAAAATACATCTGTAACCTGTAATGTCATTGTGTCATTATACAGGCACAAATTATTTTTAGATGACACTATTAGTATACAATGGAAACCATTGTGTAGTGAACCAATCATACTGCTAAGGTTTGAAGAATCAAAAGGAATTACTGTAGTAACTATATATAGCTACTGTACAATGTTGCTATGGAGACAAAACTTTCAGAACTTGCAAGTACATACATTTTGTGAAAAGGTTGACTGCAAGTTAAAATTTCATTTTTTAACCTCTGCACATGATCAATGAATAAGGTAATATGGACTAGGGATAGGGTTAGTGTTAAACTGTAACGGTTTCGCAATCAATATCTGCTTGGAGTGATAGGTCATAAGGTTTCTAGGTGAGTGTGATAGTGACATAGACGTTACAAGAATATAAAATACAATTCATGAATTTTTTTCCTTTTCTTACTGCAGTGAAAAACAAGATGGCTACATCCAACCTAGGAATTTCCTCAGCCCGGAAGGTCCAAAGTTGTCAATGCCACCACCATCATCCTAGGGAAAGAAACTGACTCGTTTACCACTCCGAACATATCAAATCACTACCTGGAACCTCATTCTACATTAAAACCTGCCACAAAGACATTAATGGAGGAATATTACAGCAACAATTTCATTGTACGAAACTGTGTCTAACAAACATGTGTCCGTCCCGGGAACCTGCAGTGCTGTACTTGTTTTACATGTTACAGAGTAGCTATTCCTCCTTACCAGTTTATTTTGTAGACTGAGAAAAATTTTCACAGAAACTGTAACTTGTAATTAATGTTTTGTTAGTGATATTACTGTGAATACTGAAACATAACTTTCTATTTGTCGTAGCAGTTTCAATAGTAGTCTTCAGATGATAATCTATATTTCTTAGTATAAGTTTAATTCCTTAAGGGAGAGAATTTCCTGAGATAAAACCCAGATATTAAGACAATATTTTTTCTTGCAGTTTAAAGAGTATTTGTTATCAATTGTTATCATTCCTTCTAGATATAAATTGTTTCTATATATTTGAAAAGTTACTGAATACATAGCCAAGTCATGAAGACTTTATTGTCAAGCTGTTGATTTGATATCATATTTCAGAATTTCTGTCTCACTGCTGAAAAAGTCAGGTTCACAAATTTATAACTTTACCTAAATGTTCCTTCTTGTCGTCTATATATTTATTTCAGAAAGCTATTAGAAAGGATTATATTTTCATGCAATGATTGTTCTTAAATACAATGTTTCACTTGTTCTGAAATACTGTACATACATGTGTATTAAAGATGTGATGTCAGACATAATTAAATTTTTCAAACTAAGAAATTTTTCTCTTCTCTTTATGAGAATTTGTTTTGAAAAAATATGGCTTTCATGGACTACGGGTGCATAATTTAGGCCACAGGTAGATTTGACAAATGCTTTTTGTAGATAATTAGGTCATTTGACTCAAACCCATAACCTTTAGCCATTCTATTTCATCTGTCGTCATGCACCATCTGCCATGAACTTTTCCATTAAAATGACTTCTTCTCAATAACCAGAAGGCTCAGAGTACTGCTATTGGGCCTGTAACACGATAGGATGAAGGGCTACCAAATTTGTTAATATAAGTGACCTTGAGCCACTTTCAAGGTCACAGGGGTTAAACATGTCAAAGGTTTAAACAACTTTTTCACAATAAATGTAATGCCCAGGGTGTTGATATTTGGCCCATAACCTGCTTAAATGAAGGGCTACCAAGTTCATATCTTTGACCTTGACCTACTTTTAAGGTCAAAGGTGTCAAACACGTCAAAATCTTTAAATGAGATCTTCTCAATAATAAAAAAGTCCATGATACTGATATTTGGCCTTTAGCATGCTGATGAAGGGCTACCAAGTTTGTTCACCTTGACTTACTGTCAAGGTCACAGTGGTCAAATGTGTTGAATTGCGTAAGTACCTTCTCCTCAATAACGAAAAGGCCAAGGGTTTTGATAATGGGCATGTAGCATACTTTTTCAACAACCAATATGTCCAGAGTAATGGTATTCGTGTAGTGCATGTATAAAGAATATGATTTCAAGTTTGTAGAAAATGTCTTTATGAACCAACCAATTTCCTCTATGTAATCTGTAGTGTAGTTGAGCAATTTATTTTAGGCATGTTTGGACTCTTTTTTTTTATATATAGATCTTTATAGTCAGACGACCCTTAAGACCAGTGGGCTTCTTCCTACTTTTGAGCATCTTGCTTGTGATGCTTGCCATAGATTTGAAAGTTTTCAAGACTGGGTGCTCTTATCCAAATAAGAAATGTTGCTTGTGTAAGGTGTACACAAATATCTAAGATGGGGCATTTCATGTGGGTCCCTTTTACACGGTGAGTAAAACGTTTCCTTTCATTCAGGGTCATGCCTGTACCAGATGAATAGCCAAACTCAATGAAAATGTGTAAACTGTGAATTCAGAGATCAGCGTCTTGCTAAATTTGTAACACCGCTTTGATGACTGTATAATTGACAATACCAGGGTTGATTGATAAGTTGTGAGCATAAAAAAAAGTTATATTGAAGAAGTTAAGCAGGTACGTCTTTTTTCAGCTATACTGTTCCATGACTATTTAAGGCTGTGTACCCCAAGACTGGTGCCATTTGGTCAGTTTATGTCAAAGAGGTAGCACTCTGAAATATACTTGGCAAGTGACTTTTGCAAAATGGACAAAATCGCTGAAAGAGCTGTGATTGAATATTTGCATAACAAAGGTCCAGTACGTAAGGATATTCATACTGATACGGTAGCAACACTAGGGAATAATTCCCGTTCATATGCTACAGTGAAAAGGTGGATGGAGGAATGTAAGCTGGCAGGCAGAGCATTGGGGATGACGCCTGTCCTGGAAGACCTGTCACTGTTGCAACCCCAGGCCAATCAAGTCCATGGTATTGTTATGGCTGACAGGCCAGTTACAGAAAGACATGTAGCCAGTACAGTTGGGATTTCACAGGAAGGAGTACATTTCATTCTGACGGAATCAGAATGTTCTTAGCCCTTCAGCTACCAAGACTTCTGACAGTTGATCAGAAGTACACCAGGCGGACTTTGTCGCATGCTAATCTGAACCTGTTGGAGGCAGATCCAGCAAAAGTCTGTACCTATGTATAAGACGTGTGCACCATTTCACTCCAGAGGCCAACAGCAATCTAAACAATGGAAGCACCCTGGTTCACCCCCGCCAAAGAAGGCAAAAATTGTTCCATCAGCTGGAAGGGTTATTGCCTCTGAGATGCTGATGGTATTCTAATGGTAGATTATCTGTAAAAGGGACAAACAATCAATGGCACGTATTATGCAAAACTCAGCGGCGCGGAAACTCAGTAAAGGTGTGTTGCCCTGTGTTCAAGTCTGTCATTGCCATTGCTGTCATTAACGACTGTGGCTTTGAATTGATAGGATATTCGCCTTATTTGCCTGATCTCACTTCATCAGACTTCCGTTTATTTCCAAAATTGAAAAAGGCCATTTCCGTTACTCTCTTTCGGTCAGATGATGACGTCATACATTTAGAGAAGGATTTTCTGAGTGGTAAAGAAAAGGACTTCTTTAAAAGTGTCATTGAGGCCCTTAAACATCGCCGGCAAAGTGTATAGATATTGAAAGGGATTATGTTGAAAAATAATGCAATATGTCCGCCAAAAGTCAAAGCATTAAAGATGAGGCTCACAATTGATCAGCTAGCCCTCATAACTTATTTTGATCCCACTTTTGATTTTGATTCCACTTTTTTTTTTACTAAAGTCATGTACAAAAATTCCTCAGATCAGATTTGTTAGTGCATTTTGACCAAAGTCACTGTCACTGTTTAAGATCACTCAACTGTCTGTTGACCTGACGTGCATTTTCATCAATATTGTGGCATTTTAAACATTTTTATTTGAAATAAATTCTTCTCAGTGACCTAGAAACCAGACGTCATGATATTGATCAAATACCAATTTTGGATCAAGGACTATCATGTTTTTAATGACGATGGAAAACTTTCAAGGTCACATGTTTGTAATGTGTTTAGAGTGTATAATCACTTTAATGAAAGGTAGAAGGTCGTGATGTTTTCCTCGGGCTCATTCTTCCGGACGCAACATCTGGCACGCGTTCTCTTAAAGTAACAGTCATTAATTGAGTTGGTAAGGATCACACTCTTCTCGATCATTTTGATATTTGATTTTGTTTGCTGAATTTGTCGTCACTTGAACAGCCAGGGTCATTTTTGAGGCGGAGTTTTCCTGTAGTAGCTGATCATGACCTCATTGAATACGATGTATTTAGGCCCAACGCATGATGTCCAAAGCAATTTTGGCAATGTGTATTGTCAAAGGACAAAACACGAAATGTACATGACGGTCAGTGGTATAAGGATCTTATAAGGAAATACAGAAATGTTAGAACGGCTTGAGGACAATAATAAAAAATATGGTTTTTGATATTGTTTTCACATTACGGAATATTGAAACATGTTGATTAGGGATGTAGTTTGCTACACAGAGATTTGGAATCAACATGAAACACCATCCAACTCTAGTCGTACTTTGTTACCTTGTATGAACGACCCATTGTGTCATAAGGTTTGGTGACGTGATCACGAGGGGGAATGAAGCGAGTCAATGGTGGAACGGACAAGTCGGTCCGCTTTAGAAATAGGTGTCATGGATTGACGATGGGTTTTATCATTAGGAAAATTACTATTTATAAAGTAGTTGATTTGTTTTAGAGTTGGTGCCATAGACTGTGATAATTTAACGGAACCACTCTATCAGCAACACTGATGAAACTGTCATCTGGTGACCCAATTTACGGATCTCATAAATATAAATTGGATATCTGACTATGTCCATTTATGTGCAATAAACACGCCATGTATTTTTACCCGATTTCTTCTGTCCATTTCGCATATAGTCTCCTATTCTTCACCGCCAGCTTCGAAAAAAATGGTGTACTAGATCACCGGAAAAAAATAATGATTATAACTATTCTGTATTTGCTTTGTTCATTATAAGCATGAACATGTTCCCTTGCGAAATCAGTACATGTGTAATGTAATATCAGGATTGCCTTCGTTGTATTTGCTTTTCAAAGTGTGACTTTCGGTGGTAAAGTTAAAAGTATTGACATTTTCGCTGAAAACGACGCGTTCATAGTGCTTTAAACGCAATCAGATCGACGTCATTTTGACTCCCACCTTTCTTTCTCGTGAAACACGATTATCTGAATCAGATTATTGGCTGTTTCAGGAATGACGTCATGACTGCGTGACGATCCAGATACTTCAATACAGTAAATGTTAATGAACACTTGCAAAATGATGAATAGCATCAACTATTAAAAATCCTAATTATAAAATATCAACAAACCAAGGTTTAAAATGTGAATCAGTGTAAAAACCCTTTAAAGACGACCTTCAAACATGTGACACGTACTGTGGCGGCTGAAGGAAAAGGGGATTCGATGACACAGACTAACTCTCCTAAGTCTACGTGCATTTTGAGCTTGCTTGCTTTTGCTGCATCTTAAAAAGATGTTTCCTGAGAATTTCGTTCTGAGTTTTGGAACAGGTACTAATCACATTTGTGTTATTTGTAGGATCTTTAAATATTGCATGTGATTTCAGTACTTTTAAATACAAATTCAGAATTAAATACTGTATAGACATATAATGAGTATGACTATTTCATAAAGCTGATGTCTAGGACTTGTCCGTGATGCTAATGTCCTGAATCTCAATAACTAGAAGGCGACACCATGAATCGACATTTAAGCGTAATGAAAATCACGAGGCAATGGATTAGTTATTCCAGCGGGTCAAGGTCACTGATGTGTGGCCGTACAGCTTATCGTGTCGCAGAGGGTAATTGGCCGTTTCTGGAATCTCTTCAAACAGACAAACGATATCCAACAACATCACCAATTTGGAATAATTCCGTGTACGGAAGCCCAAAAGCCGTTCTGCATCTCTGTCATTTGGCGCGGTTTCGAACGTTCATTAGGTAAATAACGCGTTGTACGGCAGCCTGCCAGGACCATCGGTTATGTCTGGTTTCGGTGTCAGATGTAGTGATTCAACCTATTTGTTTTGAAATAGACGCCATGCATCCAGGAGGCTGATCTCTCGCTTTTGGATCTGGTAGAATTAGGATATCAGGATATTTTCTTTTCCATTCTTTTCTGTCTGCACTTTCTTTGTCAATTTAAACTGATGATGTCTCTCTTGATACCGGTCCTCATTGACCCTGGCTGTTGGGAGGACGTTAAATCCCTT